CACTATCCCTGGGATATACGGTGATAAAGTCTACGAAATTTGGCATTTTCCGAGTTCTCGCGAAGGCTTATTTAAAGAGTACATCCAGCATTTCTTGAAATTAAAACGGAGGCCAGCGGCTGGCCCTCTAATGTTAAAACCGAAGAAGAGAGAAAGCTGTATATGGAAGAATTTTTACTTCGAGAAGGTGTATCTATTGACGCCGAGAAAGTGGAAAAAAACTTGGGGCTTCGCGCCCTTGCAAAGTTATTTTTAAACAAGTAAGTCTTCAATTTCCTTAGGGATACATTAGTTGAAATTGCTTAATGTTTCTATTCTCTTTATAGTTTTTGGGGTCGACTCGGGATGCGCGAGGACAGATTGTCTACACAGTTTATTTCGAGCCCAAAGATTTTTATGAACTTTTTATTAAATGATGCGTTGGAAATTCACAATATCGAATTCTTCAGTGACACCGTAATTCAAGTTGCTTACAAGTCCAAGGAAGACTTTATTCCAGTTAACCCAAAGACTAATGTTATCCTTGCGGCGTAAGTGCAAATTAAATATAATAAATACGTTTTTCTCAAAAATGTTTATTGGTTGGATGAATTAGGTTCACGACTGCCCATGCCCGCCTTCACTTATACAATTATATGGCCCAAGTTGGACGTAACCTGATATATTTTGATACTGATTCCTTAATGTGGATTCATCGGCAAGGAGATCCGAAGTTCCATTGGGAAACTACATGGGGACTTGACAAACGAATTAAATGATGGTGAATTCATCACAGAGGTCACCATCTGTGCTCCTAAATCTTATGCTTATGTGACGAACAAAGGAAAGCATGTCTGCAAAGTTAAAGGTTTTACACTCAATCGAACTATCAAAAAAACACTTAATTTAAATACTTTCACTTCACTCTGGACGACCCTGGACCTCAAGTGTACCCCTTACGGTATTCTTCCGTGATACGGCGTAATAAACGGACCCTTGAAATTGATGCTGTGGACCAGGTAAAGCGCTTTAAGCTTACCTATGATAAACGAAGGATACTGCCAGACTTGACGACGCTCCCATTCGGGTACGTCGACGAAAATAACGTTCCTGATTGATTATTATTAAGCACTTGCTGCTGCTGTTGTTGTTGCTGTATCATCGCTATTGCGATAGGCAGAATAATATCGCCTACAAAAATTATTATTACCAGAATAATTATACAAGCCGCAGCAAGCGCTGTGAGAGCTGGCTTGTGTTTCTCTGCTGCTCCATTTTTGCAAATAACTCTGGCACTACATCACTGGTGATTCGGCTAATTGATGACTTAAATAGTATCGATGTCTTTGAACTATAAAATAATTTTGATTTTACTGTATTTTTATTTTGCTTACACTTCAAATAAAATCAAGGTAAAAAGATACAAGACTTAGTTGATTTGGTTGTACAGCAGATTGAATATTATTCAGTAGCAGCATTATACTTGATAAATTTTGAAAACCGGAATCGATTATCGAGAAAAGTATAAATTATGCTTTAAAAAACCTTTTTTGCTTCACTGAATATTTTACGAAATCAGCTTACTCTGTTGGTTCCATTTTCCGCTTTGACCTTTGCTCCTGCTCAGCCATATGGACTTACGTTGTGATGATGCTAGCACAGTCGTGATGTCAGCCTGCAAATGCTTACACTTATAATTACAGCAGATATAACTGATCAATTGCTATAATACATTAAAATTATATTAAATTATTCAGATATTTTACAAACGATTATTTAAGGTGAAATTTACTTTGGCGCTTGAAATGGTCGTAGTCCGTTGTAATTGTGGTAAATTATCTGCAATTAAGACATTTTAATGATATTAAAAATAAATTGCGGTAAAAATGGTATAGCAATAATTAGGATGTAACAATATTAATATTATGCTAGGAACACAGAATAATTTGGTTCCGAATAGTAAATTGTACCGTCGTAGACGTTCACGCAATACTGTGTGTGTGGTTATATGGTGTTCCTAATAGTATCGCTATCCCGCAGGTAATAACCTGTAAATAATTAATTTCAGTCATTAATTGCATTCGGACTCATAAAGTAGCTATAATATAATATTCAATAATAATTAATAAGTCTTACAGTATGAAACAGAGAGTAAAAGATTAAAAGTTGATTTTTAGGCAGAAAGAAAAATTTCGTCTAGATCAGTGTTGAAAATTTTCCGAAAGAGCCAGGGCAAACTTTTTAAGTCCCGAAACTGTTTACTGGATTACAAAATCCTAATTCTGCTCGAGTACAACAAAACAATTAGTATTCAGTGTAAGCCTTCGGAGTATTAGGTCAGAAAAGTTAATTAGTAAATAGTAATTAGACAAGGAACTTACGGTAGAGTTCGTGCGGAAAAAATGTGCGTAGTGCCGCCAGGAACTTTTCTGGCCACAGATGTACACGCACACACGCTCAACAGACGCGCCAAACAAGGAAATGATATCACAATAGCACGGCCAGCCAAATCACAAACATCACCATTACACTTCATTTACAAATACATACAACTCATATTTATAGGTACCTGCTAAATTTTCTAACGTTTAAGCGTAAAATTAGAGATATTGTATTTTAGGAGAATCGCAATCGAAAACGTATGCATTCCAATGCGATTGTTCAATAGAAAGTGATGGAACATCACGTTCCATCGTGTTGACAGTTAAAGATTTTTCTAGCTCATAAGTCTGTGCTAGTGAGAATGAATTCAGTCAGTCATCTCCAGTCTGCAACTTCAAGATTTCCAACAACATGGCCAGCCAGCAAAGCAACGAGATTTCATCCACCATTCCGGAGGACAGCGACCTTCCAGAAGAAATCCGCAGATTGAATCTGGATGCGGACACCATCGCGTTTTTTGCGTCGCAGCGCTCAGCAGGCAAATTGTAAGTGCTGTTATTAATTTCTATAGCTTTTAGGTAATTTAATCATTTTTTAGTGCCATTGGCATTTTTCTGCCTCTAAAATTACGCCCCAGATGCATGAAGAAATGAAGCAGGCGGCCAAATGGAAGGCCGACTTGGACGACGATCTTTACCATAAAAACAATTTTGACAATATCCAGTGTTTTGCCTAGCCAAATTAAACTAGGTAAATGAAATAGGATGGCAAAGGAATTTCTAGTAATTTGTTACTTGTAAACTGTGTACTTTGTGATTTTGTGGCAATTCCTTTAATACGACGGTAAATAACTAAATAAAATTCTCAGACGATAATCGTACGCAGTGTGGTTTTGCAGCGCATATAGGTAACAGTACAAACAGGGGCGCTATAGCTAGCAGTACACCACACAGGTGCAGCAGCGCGGGGGCGGTGAGGGGGGGGCGGTTGAGTACCAAGAGAATAGCAGAAAAGTGAGCTGCGGAGGACGCGGGGATAGGTAACAGGCCGAGGAGCAGCGCAGCGCTGGGGGGCGGTGAGGGGGGGGGACCGAGAGAATGGCAGGAAGCTGGGCTGCGGAGGGCGCGGGGTTGTGACGGACGCAGAGCTCTAGCTGACGCGGGGCTGTGACAGACGCGGGACTGTAATAGACGCGGGGCTGTGGAATTTATGGGCCACAACAGCGGACGATGGGGAATTACGACAGAAGCAGAGACGACGGGGTACCCGAAGAGGATTTTGGGATAGGCCACGCTGAAAGCGACGGTAGACGGGGAGAAAAACGGGAGACGTTGGACTGGCAGACTCACAGGATGATGAAGAGTACGAGAATATTTCGACGGACCGATTTTGCCCGTTATTATGCAAAAATTTTAGGTAAGACTAATGTGCGCGTCAAAGAAGTCATTTTAGCTTTTATTGGAACTTTATTCAATTTTTCCGTGAATTTTGACATATAATTGTGTCACATATGCTATCAAACGCTAATAAATAGGTAAAACTACATAGTTGTGTAATAAAAATAATTACTACAGTACCACCACTTGTCGTCCAATAATTTTATTCAGTTTTCTCTGCCTGAATGAAGACCGCGATCGACCGTTTCTCACGCGAAGACTAGGACCGCTTCGTCTTCCTCTTGTTAACGCGGGCCGGCGGTCTGGGCATCAATCTAAAGAACGGGTAACACGGCCACCATCTTCGACTCCGACAGGAATCCCAGGACGATCTGCAGGTACACAGCTGTAATCCTTTGGTACTCTTGTCAGTGTATATAATTTGAAATTAATAATATTTTGTATGTATTTTGTATGTAATATTTTGTCTGTGATATTTTGTATGTTAATTTATGATAATCTTTTCATGTTTTTATATTTTTTATTGGAAACGCCTTTTATTTGTTGTTTTACTAATTTTCGTTACGAAATTATCTCTGGTAATGTTGTACATTTCGATTATATGCAATATGTACTATTCTATTCATTTAGCTTTTAACCTGTAAATTCTGATTCGTTGCGTTCGTTGTAGATAATTTTCTGATCCGTTTTGTTATGTGAAGTATTGCTGTAATGTTGACTTCGCTGTTTTATGTGAAGGAATTTCGTGGGATTGGTAGCTGTTAATTTACTGATATTGTGGTGCGGTTTTCCACGTAAATCCTATTTATAAGTGCACTAGGGTTCGCGTTGTTTATGATTTGTTCACGATTTTTTGTTTATTTAGTGCTCTAACTTACCCGGAAACAGATCGCTTGGGAAAGCGATACTGACTCTGACGGGGCTTAGAGCCATATTCCGATGATTCTCAGCAGTCGCTATGTTTCCTATCACGGTCAAATTTTGTGTTGGTATTTTAGCCTTTAAGCCTTACTTTGATCTGGGCACCAATGTTTGATCTCGTTTATACTAATGTTGGACGAAAACACATACAGCTGTTTCCGGTGTTGCGCTTTTGAGAATTCAATGATAGGGATGTCAGTGTGAGTGAATTACTTGGCTTTTTTTATTTTAAATATTTTATTATTAAAAGTTGTGAATAGCAACGGAGAATTTTTGGCACTTTGTGCGATTGAGTAGAACAGAGTTTTAGTATCTGGAGTTTTTTAACCAGGAAAATTTCTGTCCGTTTCATTGACATATACCCTGAATTATTTTAATTTTATTTAATTAAATTAGCTTTTTTTTTGTATTAATTTTATTAATGTTTTTAATATTATTATGATGTCATAAACTGCAGTCCGGAAGTCCAGTAAGGAACTGGAATTCAAAATCCCTTTGCGGGACGCCGTTTACTACTGTCATCGAGATGCAGCAACCGGAGAACGTCCATATGGAAACCCTGATCAAATTGGTGGAGAACCTCAGCAACGGCGACCCTGGATTGTCCATTGAACGGAAAGACGCCGTGAAAGTGTGGATCGCTGCCCGATATCTGCAATTCGACACAGCCGAGAAAATGGCCAACCAGATTTTGGACCGACTGATACAGCGACCGGAGCACGTCTACCGTCTGTGGCGTCTGGCTCGTCGGGATGGACTGTCGGACCTGGAGAAAGTGACCTTTACACAAATTCTGCAGAGAATGCCACGAGGAGTCTGTTTCGCCGATTCGGAGCACTTTCTCCAGTGCAGCGTGGACGAGGTTACGGCCCTGCTCACCCATGATGGATATGTTCCAGATTGTGAGCCTACTGTATATCAGGTATGAGTGTGCTAAAGCAGCTTGTGATGCGCGCCTTCTTCTGTCTGTTTCCCGCACCGCCTGGCCGAACCCTAATACTCGCAAGATATGTGCATGGCTTTTAATGGTTGTAACAGTGTCATCTCAGCATGTGATTGTACGATCTTTTCGTGATAATTATGTAGCGTTATTTTTTACCACAGTTACGAGCAGTTAGTATTAGTAAAAATTATTAAAATTTCGTATTAGTAAAACCACGCATTTGAAATCACATATAGAAAAATCATGTTTGACCTTTGCAGGCGGTACTGCGCTGGTACATGCACGACACCATCGAACGCACACAACATCTGCATCCTCTGCTGGACGCATGTGTCGTGTGGGATCAGATAGACATCGATACGCTGATCATATCCACCACGGGAGAACTGCATGAGGCACTGATGCAGATTCTGTCTGATCGACTTTGCGGTCTGATGGGTGGTGGAGCGTTGCTGAAGCGTGCCGCACCGACAGAGGCCATCTTCTACCATATGCGCGACGGACATTCGCACCAACTCCTCCACTTCGATTTCACCCGCAACGAGCTGACTAAACTGAACACACCAGTCCAGGCGACACTGGTCGAGCATTCGCCGACGATTAAAGCCGATGGGTTCGCGGTGGCCGTGGGCCGGGAGCTTATCGTCGGCACCGAACCGAATCAGGAAATGATGGCCATGGACTGCATCAGCGGCAGCACTCGTACTTTGATGGTGGAATCACTCTTCAACGAGTGCATGTGTGTGGTTGCGGTGGGTAGCGAGATCTACGCTGCGGGTGCCAACTGGAGCCAGCATTCCGAAGATTGGTTCTGTTTCAATGTGGTCACGGGGAAACTGCTTCGAGCATCTCAACTGCCGTTTTACACCTTCGAGAAAGAACCGCCCAATCTCGTTCAGTTAGCCCGCAACAACGGTGCAAACGCAGTTCAGCTGATAGAGATGGAAATGATGCAGAACATGATCTATGCTAAGCGTGGCATTGCCGCACTAATCTACCGCTATTACCGGTCAGTTCGCAATGCTTTCCATGAATTGTAATAAATATGTAAACAGTGCAAAAGTAATCGTATTATAGCGTTCGTTGTTCGGTACACAACACATGCGATTACTGGATATCGCACTTCTTGAGTGTAAATAAGATAATAAAAGTTACTCGGCACTCGTGAAGTGTAGTAGTTTTTCTTCGCAGAGCGTCGATGGAAGCGTACCCTCTTCCTCACGGCAGGATCGTCTTCGTGTCGGTTGGTTCGGTTGACGAGAAGCATGCCACCAATCCGGAAAGTATGGTGGAAACGTACGACATCCGCAGCAACAAATGGACAAAGCACACCGGTTGGAAAGACGAAACCAAGTTTCAACATCGCTGCTCGGCGATAGTCTTCCAGGGGTACCTTTACTTTACGGGCGGTTGCGTGGATGCTGAGGAATCGTTCTATTGGGAGAAGAATGGTAACGCGGTGGCCACCTGCTACCGTGTCTCACTGAGCCACGCCCAGGCTGAACCGGAGCGCATCGCGGACCTGAACGTGGCCCGTTACCAACACTGTGCCTTCATCAAAGACGGCCAGATGTGGGTGTACGGCGGAACGACCCACGTCGACGGCGACAATCAGCGGAAACGGGCACTGATGTCCTTCGAGAGATACGATGCCACAAAGAACCAGTGGACCTTAGTGGATGTGCCGATGACGAAGGAACTGCAAGCGGAAGTAGCTGGTGGAGATTGCGCGCAGAAGACTGTCCATCTGCCACATCTTCAGCACCACATTCCGGCGGCGTGCGTCGGTGATGAGTATGAGGGCAATTATGAGGACGACGACCATGGTTTAAAGTATAAGATGACGGATGAGTTTTGGAGGAACAATAATTGTTCGGATGACGATCAAAGCAACGAGTGGCCGACAGGTCTGGATGACTGATGATCAGGTTTACATGATCGGTTACCGCAATTTTATTATTTTATGGACATTTCTGGTACTGGATTAGTCACAATTATGTAGATACAATCCGATTCGTCAGTTTAATACAAAAAAATCGATTAGTTTGTTTTCTTATCGTAACGTTATTGCGTGTATCGACGCTCCATCACGGGCCCACGGCTGATATGCGTATTGTTTGGTTACCTTGTTTTGTTTTTTCGCGCCGGGTTGTTACGTTGTTTGTCATATCATAGCAACTGGAATTTACGAAAATCTTTTTGTGCAGAATTTTTCTTTCTGGTGCTACACTGAGACACGCTTAATAAAATCGGAAGTCGAAATAAGCAACTTCAAGGATAGAGCTGCAATATGAAAACAGTGCAGTATTTTGTGATAGACTTTCTACTCTCGCCAGCTGTTGCCTGCCGCTAAAGACTAAGTAGGTATCTTATGTGCATCCTAGTGTAAAAGGAAAGTAGTACTGTACAAGAAAGTAACTACGTCTGAAGCGATTTCATTGAAATTCTTTGAATGCACAATTTGTATCTTACTAAATAAGGTACATCTTCAGCGGGACACGAGGTACAGACAGTGTCAAGGGAATACGGTTATCGCTACTCGTACGAATCGGATGGATGCATTTCCAGGTGCTGGAGTTAGCCTGAACATGCTGGTAATCCAGTGTAAGGTTATGCGGTATAACGGTTATTCTCGCATCGATACCCGTCTCATAGCTCTCAAATGTTACCTGGACTCTCTGAGGGACCACGTCGGGCAGGCGAGCACATGTGAGGCAAGCCATGTTCTCATCAGAAATGTGTAAATATTTGATGAAAGCATGGGATCCTGTTCGAATTACAACATTTGTGCCATTGCTAGAATAAAGGTGAAAGCGCTGCCCTTAACTATCGTACAGGACAGTTTTCTGCAATAACTGGCTGCCAAAATGTTGGCGTGGCATGCGGCTGAATATCCGCTGCATATTGATAACTGACAATTCGTTCATTGGAAATTTAGAGAAACCCTGTAGTGGAAGGATTGGAACTTGAAGGAGTTGAATAACATACTCTGTAGGTCATAGGATATTAACGCATAACATCGGTCATGCTTTTTTGGCGCGTAACTTTACTGGCCATATTATCTGTACGCTTGCCGCCACCAGGTAACAAGCGCAATGATTTCTGATGTCGTCCAGCTTCTGTTGGATGCCATCAAAAATTATTGCGCGTGTGACTGGATTTGGAAAGCTTATTCTGGTTCCAGGTTGGTAGTAATAGTATAGTCATGCGACAGCTAAACCCCTGCTGTGATAAGCGAACACAACGGTGCCGGTGGTGTGTCTAATAATAGCTCACAGGCTTAGTTTTCTGTATTTATTTTTTCGAGGTCTGATTTTGGATTTGCCAAATTTTGATAGTCACGCACCTTGTCAAACCAAACTCTTACAGTATCATACTAGATATTCCCAAAACAAACGGCCTCAGTTACTGTCTATTTCGCTATCCGTCTCGTGGTTCTTCTCGTCATCCCTCTTGCCCTCATCGTCCTCTAAATTGTCATCGCTCGGGGATGGCTGATAATTGTCTTTCGCCAGTTCGGCCAGGAAGTGCCACGCAACCAACAAAATTTCTTCAGTTGCACATCCTGTAGGCCGTCAACGCACCACTGTTTGCCGCGATAATGTGAGGACACAGCAAGCAAGTTTTTGCGAGTCACGCATATAATTACTTACTTTTACCGCCTGATTTAAAGTGTGGTGTGCTGTGTACTACTTAACGTGTGTTAAGCCGGTAGGGGGGGATGCAGTGCCTCACCTGATGGTGGTACAAGATCGTCTAGGGGCTGAAGTATACAGGACTTAACTTAGTGAGTAGCATCGCTGCAGCTCCTTGGCAACGGATTAAACCGGGAAACTTCCGGCTGCTCCCAAAATCGACTAACGTACATGATCGGCAGTGTGGCTGATAATATGATTTGCTGCCGACAGAAATGACCAGCACGATCTGTTATACAGTATTATTCACGCAGAACGCTATGACGGCCGTCGGCAGGCATGCCTGGTCGAAGAACGGCGCTGCACGTCGGAGCGAACGCGTCCCGCAGGCTAAAGATTACCAGCGTGAGCTACACCCTTCTCTTGCTAGGAATGTTAGTCAACACTCCGGGATGTGCCGTGAACGGCTGCCCATTCGGCGGCTAGAACTTGGGTATAGCACTGGCACGATCTTTCGCCCGACCAAATGTCCAGTCCAAACGCTTATGTCAGTTTGCACTGCAGTACAGATCATGCGTGCAGCATGGACGGTGCAGCTGGCCAAAGACCGCATGACCAACAACATCATCATCCTGGATCATACGGAGGATGCCGCGGACACCTAGCATGTGGTGCAGCTAGCGCCTGATACAGTCAGCGTCGCGCTGGGAGACAGGCGGCCTTTTTCTGTGAGGTCGCCACGTCGGCATCAGCGCAAACGGATCGTCTGGGGCCACCACAACGCCACCATCCACGACGTTCCGCCCTCCTCCAAAGGTCACCAGACTTACTACTACTGGCAGACCTACGACCTCAACACCAGCTTTCTCCATATCTTCAACGTCAGCCGCGACGCCGTCGGGACAGTGGAGTGTCTTTTGCCCTGCGGCGACGACCTTTGCCATCTGCGCACGCAACACCTGCAGCTGAAACTGCGCGCCGAAGACGTCTTCGTGCCGCCTATGCGCAAGTATCCACGCCGCTGTCCAGCTTTTCCATAACATGCACCGGCCGCGTGGACTGCAGCCAGACACCGCCCGTGTCCCACTTCATCTGGAAGTACGACGGCTACTTCGTGGCAGCGCCCTATCCTTCTCTGCTCGGTTGGGCACGACCCCGGGAGTTTCAACGGCTCCGTCACATTCAACGTGTCAGCACAAGGAACTGCTGAACCTGTTTGCGCCAGCGCCCTGACCATCAGCATGCGCGAGGAAGCCATCCCCCGGTCGGCGCGAGTGGACTGCTGGATGCGCACCGATGTCCGCCGCCGCGCGTGGTTCGCTCAAACAGCATATGTCCATTTCGCACAGCCGCTACAGTAAACGTTAACAGTCGCCGTAAAAGCACCGGAAAAGCGTAGAAATGTAGTTTGTACTGCATTACCATGCTACGCTGGCAGTAAAATTAATGCAGTTCTAAGCTGTTAACTGCAGTCATAATTTTCTTATGTAGCCGCGCTTACGGTTAGAGCCTTCTGATGCTGCAGCAGGGTGGTTTTGGTTTACAGATACCTGGTATATGTACGAGTACGTTGTACAGCAGTGTACTGTACATACCTACTGAGTAGCAAGTTAGCAACTGATGTTATGAAGCCTTTTTTAATAATTGTCTTCTTAATTAATTATTAGTCGTACTATCGAAATTAAAGTATGTAATATAATATATTACCGCTAAATACTCTACGGTGGCCCCAATGCCAAGTTGTATAGAAGTAGTTAAAATGGGCCGAATGCCAGAGACATCGAAAGCATCTCGGATTTCCTACGCTCCTTAGTTTCTAAATTTCTTAGTTTGGTGGTTTTTTAACTTTCTTAGCTTCCCAGATTCTTACTTTTTATTTTTCTTCTAGTGTTCTAGTTCACTAGTTTTCGAATGTCTTATCATGGGAGCACTGCCGGCTTCTCTCAAAGCAGCTACAGCTCTCCAAAGCTGACTTTTTTTGTAGGATGACAGAGGGTTGCCTCAAAATTATTTGTATCTCCAATGGCTAATTAACCAATAGGACGTAGCCGGATAAAATTTTGAAGGAAAGACCACACCGTTGAATGCGTTGTTATAAGATTTACTAGTAATACGAGGCCCCTTTAAGGACGGGCTTCAGACAAGTTCAAGTACTGGTCGACCAAATAATGCACAGTTTAATACTGCAAATTCACATCGCCACAATTACTTGTCCACATCGCCACTGGAAATGCAAAACAGCTCCTGTTTGACTATCGCTTGCGCTCGTGTGCAAAGATGTTGTCAGGCCCACATCATTGTTATTTTGTACAGTATTATCTTGATCTGTGGAAGGCAGTACATCAAGTGCTTGCGTAGTTAATGGAGTGCCCTACACGTCTGATGAAGAGCATCCCCCAGAAGGAAACGAAATAGCAGGCGGTGAACTGCACTGCCCACTGCCCAGTATTTAAAAGCATGCTGCAGCGGCTAAAGCGTTTTGTTAGTGGGAATGCTGCAGGGACAGTATGATTGGACGTGTTGTGCGTCTACCACTACGTAGTAGTAGTACGTACGTATATCCGGAACATAGCACTTTGCAGTTCAGCCGGCAGCTTTGGAGGTAGCAGCAGGCCGAGTCAGTTAATTGAAAGACAAACGCGCGCTGCAGATAAGAAGTTTGTTACGCTGCTTAACCGTCTGCGTCACTCCAGTTAAAGTAGCGGCACTTCTAGTACTATAAGCCCTTAAATTAAAAAATTACAAATACGTACAAATACAGTACGTACAACTTGCAAAGGAATGTACAAGAAAATAATCACCGGTAGGCGGTAGTTCATTTGAATGTTTGATCTGTATCTTATCTCATAAAGCGGTAAAGTACTGAGTACATTTTCAGTGGAAGAAAGGGACAAAGGGTACTCGTACAATTTTAGGGGACTGCCGGTTAGCACAAGATACGAGGCGTTCCCAGATGCTAGAGCAAGCACTGACACGTTTGTAATGAAAAGTTTGTAATACAGGAAATAGTTGGTCTTCTGTCAGTACCTGCAGCTGTAACCTGTTCGCCGTGTTCGGTCTGTCATAACTCGTAAGTGTTATCCAAGCGTTGAAAAAGCCCCATCATACCGGGCAGGTGTATTATATTCCCCTGTTAGACTATCTATGTCCCCATCACAAATGTGTAAATATTTGAGGAAAGTGTGGGATCCTGTTCACTGTTCCAGTTACAACATTTATGTCAACATTTGACTGCTTGAATTGAGTGCACCTTTAACCAACATACCCGACGGTTTTCTGCATTAGCTAGCGCCAGCATCATGTTGACACGGAATTTTGCTCTATGTCGACTGCGCTGATATTGATTACTGACAATTTATTCCTGTGTACTGGGAAGTTAAGTTTGGAAACTTTTAGGAAATAACATGTGCTGGATCTTTTTGTATAACATCGGTGATGATTTTTTAGCGTGTCGTATAGGTTATGTTATGCTGGCCCCAGCGAGGGTAACAAGCGTGTTTATTTTCGTCGGGGTCCAGCTTTGACTGGATGCCGTCGAAAGTTAATACGCGTGTGTTTGAATTTAAAAGGATAATCCGGATTTCCGGTTGGTAGCTAGCCATATGACGGCTAGGCGCCGGTGATTAACGAACACAACGGTGCCGATGAATGATGATGTGTCTAACAACAGCTCACACGCCTATTTTCTTATACCTAATATAAATCACTGACGACTGTGATTAGATGAAACCTAAATCCTATTCCGGCCGAAAGTATTGGCACGAGTAGGATTTCGAGTTCATCTTGACCAGTTTTTCACATATGGCACTGTTAGATTTTTCCGTGCATATGTTTTGACTCCACAGTATCCCGCAGTATCTTCGGAAATATCCTTCATGCACCTTCCAAATTTTGTACTTTTTAAGTCACTGCCGTATCCTAGGGTACCGTATCTCCGCAGTATCTTTTATGTACCCCGAATGTATTTCATTAGGAAATCTATGAAACCTACCCGGATGTACGTGTTACCTTCGATACCTTAGAAAGTGCAGGTTACTGATAATCTCGTCGCTACATTCGGTTGGATACATGAAGCCTGAAGGATACGCAGAGAATACGGTGGATCGACGGGATACTGCGGATACAAGTAAAAGATATGCCCAGAAGAATTTAATTTCCACGAAGTCGTCCACATCTATAGTTTTTCGTACCGTAGCGGCCTGATACTGCAGGAAAGCAACCTCTGATGACGTCATCAAGATGAAAATAGCGGGTGGAGTGGTACAAAACGCTGATGCAATTTACGGTGACGAAAATTTAATACGATACTTTTGTACACGCGTTAAACAACTGTCCTTGAGTGAACAGCGTTCCCAAACTGTTTATACCGTATAACATTCCCCCGTCACACATCGGTTTTCAGTTTACACAAAATGCCATGCAATTCAGTATTTTAAATGAAAAGTCACCAAAATGGCGAAAGTGGCGGACCGAAATCTTCAGGAACGCAATCATATCTTCCTCTATCAATCGCTTTTGCAATTTGTTCCTCACGCTTCCAACAGACCAGACTATCCTAAAAAACGGAACCCACTTCAGTATGCGGGATATCTGATAACCGCATTCTTTTTTACGATCTTTTTTCTGGACTTGTACGACCTGATTGTCTCACAGTCGCAGGGACGTGATCTAGCGTTTAATAAAGTCAACATCCTTATCGTTATGATTGGCTACTCGTCCACTCAGATCGCGTATCTGCGCGCTTGGTTGTGTGGATTGTACGTTGTAATGAACGGCAAACGTATAAAGGCTTGTCTGTCTGTCGCACGCGGTACATTACAACATTAGCCAAACTGGAATTGCATGCACAAAATCATACACAAACGCGACGCATTGTACAGTGTGTTATTGTATTGATTTGCACACTGCCTTCAGTGTGCATGATTTGTGACGTGCACTACAGCTTATTCATGACGGTGTCCTTTGCGTTTTGGAAGATCATACGCTGGAAGCTGATTGTCGTGTTTTTTATTGTCATCCTATCCATCGCCAGGATTGTTGCTGCCTGTATAGCCCTACTGCAGTTTGACCTTTGCTCCGCTGCGTTTCGGTGCAGCGAAGATCTGTTTTCGAATTTGACCGAATTTTCCAAGAAGATGCAAACCGAAATTATTGACTCGGAACAGTTTACACAGTATCTGGTTAAACTGCGGTATAAGCATTACATGGTTATGCAGCTGTTACAAGAAATACAGTCAACCTTTGATGGGAAATACACTATTGATTTAATAACAAGTTTGGTGGAGATCTTGGTGGCCATGGCGTGGTACTGTATGTGGTTGGCCATTCCCAGTGCGGGAAGTGTATATAAGGCCGGTCGAATCGGGGTGACGTTGTGCGCGGGAATTCTGCATATGTGTTTGTTCATGTTGAATCCTTTAAAACTGAGCGAAACGGTATGAGAAGAGAACGTAATCGATACATATGGCTGCACAAAAAATATTACATTTCAATGTTTCTCGTTCAAATGGTAACAGAGTAATAAGAGGAGAAAATCGCGCACGGATCCGTGACCTTTTAATGCTTGTTTGTAGGGCAAACAATTCGAACATCTTCTTCTAGAATTAGGCAACCATCGATGCCAGAAATCTACAAACCAGGTAGGAGAACGCGTATTATCCGTAAATATTTTGCACCTTCGCAAATATCACTTTACTCATTTAAAGCACTCTATCTCGACAACCGAAGCGGACGTGTACGAAGCTTTCACAGAAAGCGTCCATCGACATAAAATGCAATTTGCAGCCGGCTGTTTGATGGATCTGGACCGGCGTTCTGTGTTTTCAGTACGACCTACGAACCGCCGCCGAATGCAGGTTATGTACTAGTAGTACTTTTTCACTACGTTTTCAGTCGATCCCCTTGTGTATAGGTGATACTTTCCATGGCTGGATTCTTCTGCTTTGTCATCGAACGAGTGGATCGCGCGCTGGTCGATTATCGTTAACGGATGAAGCCGGTCAAAATCAAGCTGTATCTTTCAACAATAATTATGCACAAATTTCTACTCTGTACGAGAAGCTAAACATCCGGCCCAAATACCTCTACGTAAACAGCTGGTTTACGATGCTCCCTGTGTGGATACTCTCGCTCCTTCGTATGTGAAAGGATCGGCCATGTAGGCGAGAGCAGCTTCGCTCCAAGCGAAAACCCGGAAGCGGAAAAACTGCCAGGAGTAACTATTCCGTCCGATCGTTATTGAACCACTTGGAGCGGTCGGATAGGCAACAAGCGAAATGACTAAGTTTCGCACCCGCATGACGAAAAAAAATCGAGAAAAAGCAGATTTGCGGCTTTTCTTTAGCAGTGCATCGGTTAACGGTTGTGAAGGGCGGCTTATCCCATCAGAAAATCTATGCACTCCATACTTAACTGATGCTAACAAGTAGCACTTTGTGTCGCTGCGCATTGCCACGATATTGGGTTTCTTTACTTCGCGAACACATCGAAATATACGGGGAATATATTCCTTTTATAATCAGACGATGGCGTACTATCTGTAGGTGTTCAAAAGAAGTACGTGTACAAGTTTCGGGAAGTGTTCGCCATACCCGATCTCTAATATCCTCAGTTGACTACAACGCCTCAGATTTTATGCTTACTCATGAAAAATTAAACGGTGAGCGCTAGGAAGAATTCACTGTAAAGTCCTTCTACTTTAGCCCCGCCTTAATTTCTGATTGGCTATGCGTGTTAAAGCAGAAAATCCGTCGTTTAAATCCACGTACGAAACAAGACTTAGCATGTTTGGCGTGAAATTTCAACGAGTTGCGAATTATTTAAGAAATTGGAGATCACGGTTTTGAGTTTTACGAGGTGGTTTGTAAGTACGGGCCTGTACGACATACAGCTGCTTTTTTGATCAGTGCTCGGATTTTATCTCTACAACGTCAGCTTCAACGCCACCATTTAGTCCATCTTATTAGTACTTATTTCCAGTTGCAATTTGTGGTAGAATTCCTGTAGGACGAAGTACGCTACCGTGGTTGATTGTGCACCTCTACCATGGCCTTCTCGGGTTTTCCCCTGCACACCGGTTCGACATGGAATCCGGGTTACGAAATCCCTACGGACGACTTCGTCTTGGAAGATTCGGATTCGAATCCCCTGAGCTACAGCTGCGATTTTAATGTGGATGCAGGAGCGAATTATCCACAGATCCCGCCGTCAACCTGGACCGTAACCCTCACCGTGGGAGTTACTAACGGCAAAATCGTGGCACAAGTATTTCCGAAACAGCCTGAAGAGACGACATCTTCTGGAACCTTGATTGTGGAATGCCGTGTTCGGTAGGTACTAGGTAGTGGTACAATAAAAATATCGAGTTTCCCAATGTGGAGCAACGCGGGACACCGTGTCTCCGGTGTCCAGTACGCGAATCCATATTATAAAAGTGTTCGAAATGCGAAAAACGATAAAACTTTGTATTCGTACATTTGCGAAAAACACCACCGTCATCGTTGATGTGCGTGTTGATAGGCCGAGTTGGGAAGGTTCTTCCGACAATGTGGTGAAGATTGATCCAACGGGATGTAGTTCTGTTTCCGAGCACCTTGAAGATCTTCGTCAGTTGGTACAAAAGACAACCTTACCCAGCGGAAGCAAACAGTGCTGTCTAAAGCCTGGCGCTATAGTCCACGTTGATCTGGCATTCAATATCGATACCGATTCTCTGGGTGCGGCGGTTAATCGTACCGATATGAAGAATCTCCTGGATTCCCGTATCCTCTCGGACTGTAAGCTGGTGTGTCAGGGCCGGGAGTTCCCGGTCCACCGCGCCATCCTGGCGAACCAGTCGCCTGTCTTCGCCGCCATGTTCCAGAATAACATGGAGGAGAAATCCACGGGAATCTGTCGGATTGACGACATGAGCTCCGAAGTCGTGACAGCCCTGATCCGCTTTGTCTACACGCGAGCGGAACTGGACAGGGACACCAATTTGATGGAACTTTGGATGGCGGCCGATAAGTACGACATGGCGAATCTGCGAGTGGAATGTTTGCGGGGCATGGTGGAGTTCGTCAGTGGGGCGTCAGTGGATGCTGCGCTGTCCTACCTCGAGTTTGCACAGGAACACAATCTGGAGAAGCTGCGCGCCGCAGCGGCGCGCGTCGTCGGTATGCACGCTGACGAATAATGTTATATTTCTGTTTTTGTGTAATCAGAATTCCGGATGTGGGCACTGCGAGTGATCAGAATGCGGTCACCATCGAAATAGTCGTCGGTATGCACGCTGACGAATAATGTTATATTTTCTGTTTTTGTGTAATCAGAATTCCGAATGTGGGTACTGCGAGTGATCAGAATGCGGTCACCATCGAAATAGTCGTGAAAGTGTTTGTTTTTGTCAGTCATTGATTGCTTTGGTAAATTCAAAATAGAGCATGGCTTCCAGTCAGGGCACTGCAATCTGTTTATATGGACTATGTTATTTTTACGGATCTCAAGTTGCAGTTAGAAACGTTCTTGTTTGTTGCGTGGTTGTAACTTGTAGTAACTGATTAAGCAGTGTTACCGACGAAAAAAGGTGTTTTTGTTTCAGTATAGAGGTAGCGCTATACAGGGTATATAATGCTTATTTCCCAATAGATTCCCCTGCGATTTAGATGTTGCTTAAACATATCTGTACTTTTCATGACGCAACGCGTGGATCGTGCTCTGTCCGAGTATCGTTAACTGACGAAGCTGCTCAAAACGGAAACTACGTTTTTCCATTTATTATTAAATTTTTAACCGTGCATTATTCATAAAATCAAATAACATTACAGAATAGTCTCAGTTTCGGCCATGGCGCACCGGCGTGTTTAAAAATAATAACATGCATTTGGCCAATTAAGATGATTTTGAATTGTTCACTAATCAGTCAAGCTCCACGCCTTATTCAGGCATTTTATGAGTTACAAGTCAGCGACATGCCGCTTTCGTCTTGAGAAAGACAAGCTGTCGGTTTTTGGCGAAAACCAACATGTCCAGCGCGTTCTCCACCGTGAGGCTGGCAGCCATGGCCTTTTCACAAAGATCGCGCAGACCTGTAATAACATACTTGTCCGCGGCATCGAAAATCTTTTCTTCAGGTCTTTCTCCTTGGTTAATTCCGTTTTGCATTGATAAACGAAATCCAGCACAATGCCCAGTGTGTCGCTGTTAATGTCTTTAATCTCACAACGGCCGGTTTTCTTTTCCAGCGTATCATGCTGGAACATGGCCGAGAAGACATCCGACTGAGCGGCCAATACTATGCGATACGCCGGGAATTCTTTCCCGTCGTTGGTCAGCAACGTACAGTCGGTCAGTACTTCGGCGGTTCGCATATTGGCAAGATTGCTACAGAAACTGGTGTGCGAGCGAGTGGTCGCCTCGTTAACGGTGGTTGTATGGAACATCAGGTCGATGTTCCAATCGTTTCGTTTTAGCATGTTCGGCAAGGTTGGTTCGAAGAACTCCTCTAAGGCATCGGGAGTCAGCTGAACTAATGGGCAGTCCCATCCCAGTTGACCATAGTGACCTTGCCCATGTAAATCGATGGGCGACCTTTAGAGTCAATCAATACCGTCAATATACAAAACGCCGATAAATTCGTGGAGTAGTACCCGTGTGCTAGGATTTCTTGTGTAACTATCGTATTCCTACATATTCCCTGACAAAGTATTCCACCGTAAAACTTCCCATGTTCTGGGGGTCTTGTGCGCTCACAAGTGGGAAACTGGGAGGTTGGGTAAGAAGAGCTTTAACGATATCAGGTGATCTTGGCTTTTTTACCACCGAGATAGCAAACGCCCATACGCCATAAGGAATTTGCGGATCGTACATTTTCTCTGATGTCTGGACATTGAGATCCACTTTGTACTGCAAACGAAAATACTTTGAAGTGTTTGCTGTTTCTTGGGTCTGCGCACACCGCATTTCGAAATCTTTTGCAAGAAACTGAAAATTAAAGCGGCTTTCAGATGGAATTACTGTGTGACAGTTGATCAGTTCGGTTACAATAAAGGATGCGTCGTCTGCTTGCATGGTACGTGATATCACTGGGATGCCACAGTTAATACTACTGCTGGATTCTACGTTTTTCAGAACACGAAAAATACCACAGAAGGTTGTAAAATGTTACAACCTCTACTCGTAGGAACTTACAAGCCGGTAGTAGTGGCATAGATTACCTCTTGTGCGTACGCTTGAACTGCGATTGCACTTACGTCCAAGATAACGATTTTGTAGATTAAGCGTTCCCTGAATTTCAGTGGTGAGGCAGAAGACATCTACATGCAGTAATATTTGTATGATAAAACGCTACTTATTATCTTTCCTCCTCTGCAGGAGACGTATCTGTAGAGTGCCGTTTAACTAAATTTATTGTCTTCTTAATAAGGTAAATAAACGGTAAATTCTTAATAAGGTAAAATCTGAACCAGTTTCCACAGCATGGCCGCATGAAATATTTCTGCGCCATAATTGCACATTGCAGTCATATTATCGTATGTGTGAAGAAGCCGTTAGGTATCCACATGCCAAAGTAATTCTTTATACTATTACGGTAATTTTCTTTACAAGGAATTGTAATAATCACAACAACTCGTGAAATAATAAACGCTTAAGGTGAACAATACAGCGATTGGGCTTAACTTATATTTCCAGCATCAATCATGCATACTAGTCCAATACTGTACTCGTATAACTGCGAATTCTCAAGTAGAAGTTATCAGTATCGCATTGTAAAGGTCCACTACGAAAATAGCAGCCTACAGGTCACACGCCACTAAACCGCCATTGTCCAGCACGCACCGGCTTATGCAATGTGCAGCAATGGTAGCGTTGCTCCGCTTGACCGGTTTACTGTTTTCTCTCTTTCCCGGCATACATTAAAGGAACCAATTCAGTTTTTTTACTGCGCAGTGCGCACTACACCAAGCAGGCTAAAAATCGACAAAAGCAGCTGAAATCATTTGCATTTTATGAGCGCAGTTCCATACATACATCCAAACAGTGGAGAAAAAAACGTCATTTCACATCGTTGAATATCGGGGCGTTACCTGCATAAACGCAGCGCCGGTGCTCGTCGTACAATCAGCGGAACACACTGACTGGAACGCCTGTCGCGCGAAACCTGCTAGTTTTATGGATGGCAGTTAGCGCCTGGTTTCTTTAATGAAAATTGATCTAACTTTGAGCAGATTTCCAGAACACGTACTCTTTTACACTGTTTAAAATAAATTGCAAAATTAAAAATGGAATTTAGTTCGGTAATAGTGACCTTTCACTTAACACTGATCTTTTCCGGTGCATTATGTTGGGACGATGCAGGATCAACGCGGAATCATGGGCCGTGTTCCAAGTTTGAATTTCCGTGTAATAATTCCGGTGTCTGTGTTACTCAGCAGAAATGGTGCAACCATGAAGCCGATTGCCCGGATGGTGACGATGAAATGCCGCATTGTCGTAAGTCGTTTTTGCCGATAACGTGCGCCATAACAAAAATAACTAGAACAAATTATTACTCTAGGATTGCAAGGTCCTCCTAATTAATTTTACTGCATGGCATATTTACATATTTTTAGTGTTATATATTTCCAAAATCCATCCTTTTATTATAAATATAGATTTATTTGCACAAATTTATACTACAGTTATTTATAATAATCTTAAATTAATTCGAAATTTTACAGAAGTTAATTCTTAATTTTGTTTGTGTCATAAATATTTTTAATCTAATTTTGGCTGAGAAATACTAGTTGAACCAGCACGTGTTTATGCAGCAGCTTTTATTTAGATAACTATTTTACTGTGATAAAAACGCTAGAAATATCTCGTATTGCACATTACTAGTGTGCTGCAAATTTTTTTACTTTCACATGCTTTGTGATTTCTGCATTTTACTATTTAATTGATCGATACATGTACATTAAACTCAAATTGCACAAATTACCGGCTTCTGAAATCTAAAGATTCATAAAAAGTTACGTTATTTTACGTAATGCAAGGCGAATGATCGGTTGATATTTCAAGGTCATTACACACACCATATGCTCTTCTAAAAACTGCCGGCATCACGCAGTCGCTTAACGAGTATTGTTTGTTGTTAGCTGTCAGTTTCGCAGCTGTTCCCTGCCACTTTTCTGACATTTCAAATAATGACACTGTACTATTAAAAAAATTCGGTGAACATTTTAAATCTGGACGTCAGTGTGACTAGCACGTGATATTAATTAGTGTAACATCCTTCTAAGTTTAATAAAATCTTCTCATGTTTTTTGAAAATATAATTCTGCTGTCATTGTTGTTTAATTTGGCTCGTTATGAAGAAAAACGTTAAATGGCTTTTCAAAACGAAAATATTATACGGTGTCCACCCTGATTTCCCACAAAACGAATATTCGGGAATAAAAATTTTATTGATTATTTCCGGTTGCGTTTTATTAGAAGCGAAAGCGCTGACGTGGGATGATTTCCAAAGCGATACGCTGCCCTGCATCAATGAAGTCCGCCGCGCCAAACGAATGCCGCGGATACATTTTGATTTTGATCGGCTACTCACGTCCTCGCCATCAACGGATTACACTGACGATTATGATGACAGTGGCTATTGTAGTACGTTCTTACGCAGTATTATGTAATGGTTTTCACGCTGATGATCGGGCGAAAATAGCGTAAATTCTCCGCTATTTTTTGCATTAGTTGTTAAAAAAAATACTAATAATTATTCACAGTAAACTAAAAAGTTATCCATATTTAAATTTACGAGGTAATATTTGCACAATGGGCAGTGTGACCTTTCTGTACGATCCGGGCATATATATATACCGACAGTATTAAAGTGAAGAGCAAATAGTGCTTATAGTTCTTATGACGCTTTTTTTCGAATTCCGGTATTTTAAAGTGTATTTAATTACTTGTCTGTAAGAAGCACATTTTTTAGTTTAAAGATGTTAAATCCTCGTATATGCAGCAAGTGCAACACAGTACAATAAAACCGCTCTTTAGAAGCTACATCATCATACATTATGTGCATTGTGTAGATTATAGTAAACACACCGTATATTTTAGATTTTATACATACGCCACATCAGACACTATTTTTAACTATACTCGTACATTTTTTAAATTTTATATGCGATATCAGATGGTATTATTTAAATAACCGGCAAATAAAAATGATGTTGTTTAAGGTCTGGTTAACTTCCCGGCCAGCTGCCAGTGCAAGAACGGTCGCTCACTGGAGTGCAAGGTGGACGGGAAGCTGCCCAATTTATCGCAGGTGGAACCCAGTCCCACCCTTATGTAAGTGCGATCGCGCGCGCGCACGGCCACCCGGAAGTACCGGCGTATGCGGAAGTGTGTATTTCCGTCGCCGATTGCAGTAATGTCACAAATCATTTATCCTAAATGACCGTTGAAATGTGTAGAGGAGAATATCTACAATATTGCCGACTTTTATTTTTGGATGGCTGTCATGCTCAATTATAAAAACCGTGCTTTACACACAGCAATATTTACATCAATAACAAAAAAAATTTTTTTAACAAAATGGTCTATATACCGTTAAATTTAATATTACAGTAATATAGTGCAAAAATCTCTTGCAGTGAATTACGCAGTAAGCGAGGTACGATGGGATGCCTGCGCCCCAACCGGCAGCATAACGGTTACTATTCACAACTGGACAATTTGCTGACGCTGTAAGTAAACATTATTGCATTATTTTATTTCCGTCGGAATCCTATTGAAGTGAAATAATTTTTGGTAATTGCCTTTCCGTGTTCCTCTTGTAGAAACTTTTCGAACAGCGGACTGCGTTGTATCCATGCCTTTGCTTTTCGCAACCACAATCTGGCGACCTTGTAAGCCCTATACTTTATACGCTTTGTATACAAACATGCATCAGAAGTGGCACGTATTTATTTTTCAGGGATTTATCTCATAATCTAATTCGACATTTGATGAACGATACCTTTTCCGGCTTAAACGTCTGCTCACTGTAAGGTTCAGTGTCTTTGCGTTTATGGTGACCTTTTGTTTTATATTCACGAGCTGTGATTTATGGTCTGTTGATATTAGTTTCACAGTATATTGTGATATATGTACACAGTACATCCATCAGGATAATTATGATGTTGATGTAGGTTTTTAAACGACAACACCATCACCGACTGGACAGATGATCCATTTAATTCGGCATCGGCTATCAGCTGGCTGTAAGGCTGCATCAACATAATTCCGCAAACCTGGAATAGCTTCTGAATATTTTATTTTGTTTTTCTGTAGAGATTTGCGGAACAATGATTTAACACTGGAGCAGCCGGGCATGCTGCAAAGTCTGCGCAGTACTTGCGTTCTGTAAGTTATCACGGATTAGTCACCGAAGTATGGTACTTAAAGCAATAACAGTACGTGGATTAGTTTTAATTTTGCAGTGAACTAACGGGAAATCTGGTTCGCCGGTTGACCAACAACACTTTTAAAGGCTTAACCCGACTGTGCAATGTGTACGTATTTACGAAATACATTTCGTGCTCCGTGTAGTTTTTGTTTAAAATGAATTTCGCATTTCGGTGTGTTAACGTTCGCATTGTCAATCTTGCAGTGAACTCTCGTACAATGAGATTGAAAGTATCGAATCAGGAGCCTTTGCCGACTTGCATACGACCGGAACCATGTAAGTTATAAAAAAAGTAGTTTAAGAGCACTACAAATGTGAAGCACTACAAGTTTTCCAGAAGAACTTTATACTACAACAAGCCGATATCTCTGCATTCGGATTGCTGATAATAATCACAATGAATTTTTGACTCTTCAGCAACCTGAAGCATAACCGGCTTTCCACACTGGATGAGAACCTTTTCCAGCACAATCACAACTTACGCCAACTGTACGAACAGTTATTTTATTATTACTCGTATTAGTACAATGCGCAGTTTAATTAATTACTGTTGGCGAAAGATGTGAAAATTATATAAACAATTGTGCGTTTGTTGCAGAGAGCTGGCCTATAATAGCAACATAACAACGATTCCTGTTGGATTATTTCGCAACTTCAACTGCACGAAACTGTAATAACTGAAAGACCTCTTATACCAGTATTAGATTTACCGCATTTTGATGCTTTAACAGTGATTTGCGCGGAATATTAATCAGTAACATCGAAGAGGAGATGTTCCACACGTTGCCATCCACATGCAATGTGTATGTAATTCTGTGGTTTATTTACGTAATTCTTTAGTTTATTGACAGTTTTCGTAATTTTTTTATGCAGGTTGTTTGAAAAGTTGTACTACTGCTTCTACGCCCATCATATTCGCAACTGTACGCCAAAAGTTGACGGGATTTCCTCCTTCGAAGAGCTACTGGTCAGCCCAACACTAGTGACATTAGCATGGATCTCAGCGATATTTACGATTATCTGCAACCTGTTGATTTACATAACGCGATGGTACGCTGCACATCGATGCTAAAAATATAACTGGCAAGGTTTTATCACCGCAATGCTTGTTTTGTACCTGTAGGTATCTGGATCGGACGCTAAAGCATGGCGTGCACGATATGGTGGTCCGGGATGCTCGGATAATGTCGCTGTTTATCAAACACCTCAGCTGTACGCGAAATACATCCTGCCACCGACAAAATTCATTCGTGTTTTTGTATCAAACAAGTTTCTTTTTACAGTTTCGGATATGCTGACAGGATTCTACATGCTGTTCATCTGTTATTACAACGATACATTCAAAGGTCAATATCATCGTTATGCGCTGGACTGGATCAACAGCATTAAATGCCAAGTCCTAGGAATAACCGGTAAAATTATCAGATGCCGTTACACATTGCGTACGTTCTTGTACCTTCTGGGTACATTTGATCTAAGTTTTGGTGCTGTGGTTTTGACCTGGATTTTAAACGGTTACAGTGTCGCATATTAAACCCTGTTAAAACATATCCTAACTCACACTATGTCTACACACTGAAAATACAACATTGCACGCATACGTTGATGTTTTAAAACGTGTAAAAATTTCTCTTAAAAAACTGTATAAAAACTTAGAAACAACGATTTTGACTCACAGATTTTGACTAATGCAAACTGTATCGCGAGCAAAATCGAGCTATCAATCGTTTGACTTTGCGGATGATGCTTACAAGCTGTGACGTTATTGCTTAATATATTCTTTTCGTTGTATTTCAGCAATGTCATCAGCAGAAATCAGCATGCTAATTTTGACGTTCATCGCCATCGACCGCGCCCTGACCATCTGCTGTACAAACAAGAAACTCCGTCTCTCCATCTGGTCGGTGCGCGTAATTCTCATCTTTATCTGGTTGCTGGGCATCGCGCTAGCCATCATCCCGGCCATCATCTGGAACGACCGGGTCCACAACTATTACGGCAACAACGGAGTGTGCCTGCCGTTGTACCTACAGGAGCCGCGTCTCAACGGCTGGATCTACTCGTTAGCCGTCGTTTTCGGACTGAACGGCCTACTGATTGTGGTCATCGCCTGTTGTTACGCGGCCATTTTCTGCTCGGTGAAAAAATGGGGGCATGATCTACCGGTGGAGACGGAAGAGAAGGAACTGTTCTGGCGGTTCTTTGTGCTGGTCTGCGTCAACCTCTGCTGCTGGCTGCCGACGTTTGTGTTCAAGTTTATCGCGTTAACCAACCACAAAGTTCCCGGTAAAAACGATGCCGGTTTTCTGTAGAACGGTAGCTGTATTTTTACGCCTTTACTTGAAGGCTAATTCTACCTTTACGCAGATGAGTCATACGCCTGGATCGTGACCTTTGTGTTTCCCCTCAATTCAGCCATGAATCCGATTGTCTATTCCCTCAGCTCACGGGAATTTCGGGCAAGAGTGGGACGGATTACCGGATACAATACCATGAAGCAGTATGTCGTTCATCGGGTTCACTACATTGGCCGTAAGTTATGTTGCTCTGGCAATTATGCCGCATTATGCGTTCGCATAATCAGCGAAATACAACTTAATGCTTTTAGTCACCATAATAACAAAGTATGGGAGCGCGTTGGCACTACTTATAATTACGATAAACTTGATCGTTGAAAAAGTAACCAAAATCTTTATCTTCCAGAGGACTAAAGGTGCTCTACTTACCAAAGCCGAAAATAATTTATTGTATCTTTTTATTGCTGTATAAGTTACCGGCTCATACTGTTCGTATACAGACGGATAAAACTCCTTTTTATCGTCACTAGGCCGGCTAAGTACCTGGAGTACCAACACCTCCAGCGACCTCTGCCACGCCGACAGCCTACCTTTTCCCGACGGCCCGCTCAGGGTCCCGGACGGCCCTCCGCCCCCGTATTCCGCTATGGTGGCCGTGCCGGCTTGTCGGCGGCCACGGGGGCTCCGTCCGAGTTCGGTACATTTTCCCCTGAACTACGATGCCCTGGGGCACAATCAGCAACTGCGCAGCTCCGCGTACCAATTGAGTAATGCCGATTTCACGACGAACCAGCACGAGCTGGAGCCGTTGCGCGAACAGCCAGCCGAGGATAATTTTCCGTTGTAGTGATTACCTCGTTTCATTTGTTAATTATGTCCTTCGTTCATTCCTGCAAATCTGGTTTACTGCTGTAAATGGCATGATTTTTTGTCCCAGTCTTTGTGAATTTTGGCAATATTATTATTATACCTGCGTGTAAATAGCTATTTACTGACGAATAAATTGTAGCGTGAATATTTTAAGTTATGACGGTTATGTCATCGGTTATGTACATAAAATATCTGTAAGCCGAGGAGAATTATCTGGTTTTGGAGAGTTATTTGTCAGATAAACAACACTCATTAATTATAGATCACATCCATATAATACGTACAAAAACTCTGTGGAAATATCCTTGAATGAGGATCAATAATTTACGCCAGTTTATGTGGTTCCACTTCGTTGTATGCGTACGTAAGTCCGCAGCTAGTGTACAACTGTACATCTGCAAAGGTGCGAAAGAACGTTCAGCAAATTTTTATTGTATAACCAAATTTAAAAATGATGTTCTCTTGTGATAATTCGATGAATTTAGGCAGGGAGGTAATTGTACTTAGGTAATTCACCTAAAAGAAACCATTTGTAAGTAAGCAATTTAAACGGCAGAGAATCGACTCCTGGAAGCTTGCGAGATATCCGTATATACTGAGTACTGACCAATAGCGGATTTGAAAACATCATACAGCGCCCAATAGTGAATCATCGGTCCGCCCAAATACATATGAGCTGGCATGGCGGATCCATTATAAATAGTCAAGGTAGCCATCGCAGACGTTGTTAGTTAGTATTCCATTTCACTGGCGTTATGTGTTGATTGCATTTGGATTTTTCGTTACTTTTTCGTTCCCGTTTTACGTAAAAACTGTTACTTTATCCTTTTATTTCTGTTGAACCTTTCTTCCTGTTCTAACATGGATTTCTCTGGCACTATCAACGGCTCTGATGCCACCTGGTTGTACGCATTGAACAGCCGCCATGCACCCTCTTGTTCCCAGGACGCCACAATATCCCGCGATCCTCATGTCACCAGTCCCACCTGTGAAGCGATGGCCATGGCGATGGATTTAGGTTATTATCTGGATGAACAGAAGAATCCGCAGACTGCTGCTGCGACCACCGTGGAGCCAGACGGGAGCACTGACGTTATCGCCTTATCTGAAGCGATGGACACGTCCTCCCCGGAATCCAGTCCCGTTAACAGCGATACCATGGTATTTGACGAAGAAGCCGCAGCCATTTTGAGGGGCGTTGGTCTGAGCTGGAACGAAGCGGATAACGGTCGGGGAGATGCTGCACCAACGGTCGACCTAGTAACAGCACCATCGCCATCGCAAGCGTGTTCTAGTGGAATCCCATTGGCTGAGCGGCAAACGGTTTTTCCATCGGTTGCTGGAAATGGATCGATGACTCGGCCTCCGCAGGTTTGGACCGTTGAGCTGCCAGCTATGAATGGAGCAGCATTGCCAGGCGTTGAGACTGTTCCATCATTACATCATGGAGAAGGCCCAGTGAGCGCGTCAGTCGGTGGTCGAACTGAGAAACAGCAGGGCGTTGGGAAACCGCGATCTCTCAAGCGTAAAGCCTCAGCGTCCCCTGACACCACTGGAACCGCGTTTCGGACAGGTTAGTGTAATAACATTTTTTTGGAGAAAATGTTAATAATGTAACCATTGTAACGTATAATGTTAATAATGAAATAATGTAACGTATGCCTTGCGACGTGTAATAATTAAAGAATTATATATATTTCTACGCTTACTGCGCAGACAAGCGTTTCTCTCTACCAACCCAGCGCTAGCAATTTGTGCGTGTGTTCCTGTGGGCATCTTTATACCGATATTAGCTTTAATATCCGCAAGAAAATTTTGGTTTGCTCGGAGTAAAATACTATGTACAGTAGCAAATTCGTCATACTACGTAGTACATAGGTAATTAAAGCTAAATCAGTCAAGTTTAAACAGTAAATGCGTCACAAGGATTCGGTTTTGTGAACGTTCCACACTATTTGCAGGACAAACTGTGTACCTCAGGGCGCAGTCCGACCGCCCCGGTCTCCCGTACTGGTACATGGGTCGCATTGTCGACATCGGTATGGGCAAACGAAACCCGTTGGACAGCAACACCATCGCCGCCGCGCCTGAATACCGCGTCCAGTACGTGTACCAGCCGGCATCCACGGACGTTAACAGCAAACGGTAAGCAATAAGCATCGTGTGCTCCTAATATTACTCAGTGCATCTGTACAGCGCGTTCAATGCTGCCGTGCATAATGCAGATACCATAAGGCCACGGAGTGGATCACCGGTGATCGTTTAATACCGGATGAACCAGAAACGCGGCAGATGGTGGAAGTGGACAACGCCCAGTACATGGCCGTAGTGCAGCAGCGGGGAAAGGGCAAGGGGCGCGGCTGAATGGTGCGGCAAGACGCTCAAGGACGGTTGATGGTAGAATTCAGTTTTACTTAACATGAACGAGTTGGCTTGTAGTTTTGTCGACTTCTTAATACTGGATAGAAAGTTTCACGCGGTTACCTGACGCCTTATGGTAAATTACAGTGTATCTTGCTATTATTTTGGTAAAATGGTAGTTGCCCCAAAGGCACTGCTTCTGATCGTCTCTTTTATATTGCACACCAGTGTGCTTATTTTGTAGTTCCTAAATCCAGAAAGCTGTACATGGTGGCTAAACCCGACTCTTTGAAGTTTTAACTGTCTTCAGAAGTTATCCTTTGTACAGATTCATACAATGTCATATACTGTATACTGTGCTTGTGTAAAGAAAGAAAAGACGTTTTCGGAAATTTGTCTTGGTTTTATATTATTTATTTACATTGCAGTATGTATAGTAGTAAATTTGTCATATGCACACTGCGATAGACGGAAAATACAGAGGCCGTCGGTGCCCAGGATCCTACTACTAAAGTACGTATTAAAGCTCAAAACTCGCGCGTTTACTGTACTGCCTTTCTACTTTACTCTTCAAATCTGCATCCCGAAAACTCGATGCAACAAGGAAAACGGAGGTGCGCATTAAAAAGTACTACGCAATAACACTGAGAAACTGATGATGTACCACCTGGTAATCGTGGCAATGTCCAGAAAATACCAGGTGTATGAGAAGTATAGCATCATGACAGAAATGTATAAAGCGTAGCATCTCTACAACTGGCTGTTAATATACGGTAGGCAGTGGAAAATACTGTGTTCGATGCGCTGTCAGACATGCTAGGTACGAACTACGTCTGTATGCAGAAGCATTTGACGGGATACCCGATGCAGCGGCCAGACGCTGTTGCACCGTTTCGCCTCTGGCAGTGAGTCGTGCAGACACTCTCATCGTCGTCACCCGGGCAAAGTACGACCGGCTTGCCGTCACTGCCCATCCCGGGGTCAATATTGAGTGCCACACCTTGTCCGGAATTGAGCGTGTTGCCCGCTACCGTGTCCCCGGTGTAGATGGTCTCGCCGGTCTGTGTTTCCTGATCCTCATCCTCATCGGTATAGTCCACACTGGCAATTGCATATCCTACCAGGCACAGGATAAGAACAGGGATAAACAACTTCATGACGGAGCCGAGCAGAATTCTGGTAACACAAAGTGGCAAATAGTACCCCGGTGCGGAGCGGCTCGAAAGAGACTTAGCCTCCTAGAACCCTGTCGGCGGTCGCGGTGATTGAAATGAAATGCAAGGGAATTTATAGTTAGTGCTAGCAAATTGCGTGATAGACGGAGTTCCGTCGCGTGCTCGTTAGCTAATTAATTGATTCTATCGCGATGGACTGTGCCCTGTAGTACTTGTATCGATGCATCATGCCGCTATAAGTATACACCAGCGGCTTAGGAACCAATGGAACTTGTTTGATTGAAATCAACTAGAAAGTATAACTGAGCGCGACTAGGCATGCTGTATATAATAGTGTATATAATATACTATTAATTATTGCTGTACAACAGCTCTCAGTATGTAACACCCAAAGAAAATAAGATGCACACGTCGGCGAAATACGGTCGAACAGCAATTTACAGAAGTGCCCTACCGTACTTAGAAATTCAAAATTTAATTACTGAGCCCGTACGCCCAGCAAGGTTGGGCCTTATCGCCTTCCTGTAACATGAGTTAACTCAGAAAACGCTAGAAAGCTATTGCATGTTAGTCATCCTCCTGAAACCTGCTTATGACGTTATTCGTTAGTCAAAGACCAAAGGTGCAACAACTGCACCTGCTTCATACAAAAATCTCAGGCCGAAACAAAGATTTCGATCATTAACACAGGGCCGCCCATATGGGAAATGCATTTGCTATTCATTGCTCCTGATATTCTATCAATTCAAGCTATATTAAACAGTAAACTGCAATTTACCAGAACGCAGCTATATCATGCAGGTAATAATAGGTGTGTTGGTCGCTTTTTGCTTGGTCGATTTGACTGTCTCGGAGTTGGATTACTCCGCCGAGTCATCCGAAGACCAGGAGACACGGACATTCGAGCCTATACCCACAGGAGATGTCGTGCAGGGTTCGTCACTGAATTCAGCCAACACTCTACCGATCAGCGTGGTCAGCCTCACCAATGCGGACGGCAGCTTCGTGTTGTTGTGTCCACGTGGAGACGACGATGATACAGTCTTCACGGAGCAGTACTGTCGGCGGACATACCAAATCGGCCGATGCATCGGCTCGCCGGCAAAATGTCATTGCTTGCTTTCGTAATTTGTACTGATAGTCCCATAAATAACAGCTTTCCAGTGTCTGGAGACTAAGAAAGTAGATGCCCAGTTTTAACGCATACTGCGCAAACAAACGCTCCTCTCGGATTCCGTGCTGCGATCTGCGGGAATTGGATGCGCTTCTGTTGCATATGAGTAGTTTTTGGTATGAACTGCAGACCGTCGGGTCGATTCGTTGCTTTTGTTCCTGACTTCCCTACTGCTACGTTGTAGTGCTGCGGTGTTTCCTAATTAATAGAACCGGATAAAATAATAAGCGTCGAAGATTATTCTACTTCGACGACAACGCGCGGGAGACTTATAATTAAATTCGCAGGCAGGTTTTCGTTAGCGAATTTATTTTTAAACCTTCATGAACTAATCTGATCGGAGACTGATTAACTCGCAACTAAAAGATCAATCAATGTTTTAGCTACTTTCATCAGTTACAAAATTACGCATACATTTACTTTGCAGCCTGCCGTACAACGAAAAATTGTAACCAAACTACAGGAAAACAGGTAAAAAACCGGAATGTTTTCGCAAAGTCAACACAACACCAACGCCGTAACACGCAATGGCACTATCCGACTGAACCTTCGTCAACGCTGCCCTTTTCGCCATCGTCCTAGCCGTAATAGTCTTGCTCTTCGTCGTCATCCAGGTAGCATCCGTTAAGGGCGGCAAAGGTCAAGTTGTTCAGCGTGGACACATCCAGGTGACGCAGATCCAGCGTCTCCCATCGCCGGGCATCGTCACCGGGTCTCAGACTGTTGAACCTGAGTAAACAACAAACAATTTCCGCTGCACCGTTTTCCCAACAATTGCAGATTATTCTACTTCGACGCTTCCCGCATCCCGGACATTCCCACAATATTGACGCAGTAGGCGTTAGTATGCCTGTACTTTGTACGTACGATTTACCTGTTTTTATCTAAAGCTTCTAACAGCTAATTCCATCAGAAATCTGCTCGTGTTGATTAGCCTCAGTCCTGGTCTTGATTTTTGCAAATCTGTATGCAATGTGTGCAGATCCGATGGTGTTGGCTGGAGAGTCTGTATGCAGTGTGTGTATCTTCAGATTATGATTAAAGGTTATGAGATCTGAGTGTCGACCTTCTTGTGGCGAACGTAGAAGTGTGTACCTGCAGGAAGTCACATAAGAATCTGGATAATAACATCACCAGATATTGGTTGTGAGCGTAGGAGTATATCACCGTTCTGAACAGAGATTCCCACTCTACCGACTGAGTTCGGTTGGTCATCTAGTACGGGAGTCGTAGTGCGACTTCCACATAGCATGTCAGTACGGATTCGCGTAGCGTACACGGTATTCTTCCCGTTGTGCCATATGACCAAAACCTTATGCAATTTTCTAATGTGGAACAACACAGAGAATACCCTGCCTATGGTGTCCGGAACGCGAACTCATACTGTGAAAGTGTTCGGAATGCGGAAAACGATGAACGAGCAAAGGAGCCATGCATCCTTACAGCTGGAGAAACTTGCGAACGCCGGCCCATTCGTCATCGGCCACCGTACCCGCCCATCGCGAAAACAGATCCGTGACCTTCTGGCGGACATCCTAACTAACAGCGGGACAGCTGTCGTTAGCCGCGGCCAGAAAGCATCGGCGCTGTTCAGTGGCGGCGTCCTGGCGGCGGAAGCGCAGGAACGGAATGGTCACGCCCACATCGTTGGCGGTAGCCACCCTCGAGCCGGTGCTCAAGGAGTCCGGTAAGAGATCCTCGTCGGTGCGGGAGGACATCCGCCTCCACGTGGAACAGATGATGGACTGCGACGCCGGATAGTTTATCAGGACCAGCTGGTCGCATACGCCCATCACGGCGGACACCGCGCGCACGGTGTACTGATCGTCGGCGATATTGACGGCCTCATTGTCGTCGCTTTCGGCTTCGATGACCAGAAACTGACCCCCTGCATCTGCAGTCATCACAGCTTTGTACCGCACCACGATCAAGGACAAGCGAATTCGCTTGATATCCAGTACCGTTGTGACTGTCTTCATTTTCTCTTCCAGTCCGATGAACCATCGGGGGTGACGCAGAACTTCGTCGCGGTCATCCATCAGCACCAGCGCTGTCGTTTTCCGGGTGACGGCGCGGTCCAGCATGGTTAGGAGTGTGTAGCGGCGGGAACAGAACTCGATGACGTAATCGTGAGCATAGGGCCGCTGCGGCCACATCTGAACGTTGTCCAGAATGACGATGTGCTCCCCGTATATCCGCACCATCTCTCTCCATAACGTACAAACCCTGGTTACAAACAGAAAAAGTTAGATCGCCGCTACTAAATTACTGCTACTAAATTCTACGTAAATTAATCAATTGACTTATTTATAATTACTTAAATTTAATTAGTTATTATTAATAATTTAGTTATTTTACTTAATCAATATTTTAGTAATTAATAATTTAAATTAAGGCAATGATATCCCTTTAACTGGTACCCATTTCAACCCGTTATCTATAGGCACCCCTTTCGCACCCACTCAAAGATCAGAGGCACCTCTTCTCGATTAATTAATACCTTCACCCCGTCGCGTGCCAAAGCTACAGGCACCCCCTTATTAGCAAGGCTTCTTTAGTTACCCATGCAGACCATGCTTTACGGACGCGAAACGCGTGATGTGAACATACAGTTTCCGGTTGTGCAGCGATAGTTTCCCGGCACGAATCAATGCGGCCAATGGTCTGCACTTGGCAGTGTGAAATTGTGGAACAGCACACGCACAGAGAACGCAATATTCACCAAAGCCACCCACCCAATGTGCACGGCTAGCACTTATCAGAGGTTCATAAACTAAAATCTTGTGGACATGCCCAGAATGCGGGGGACGCATGACGCAGACCAGCGATCAAGCACACCGCCCAGAAGGGCGATATTGTCGTGCGCGTGGAAGATGCCATGCGCAATCGATCAGCCAAACGATCGATCCACTGATGGCCGATCAGCCAAACAGGCTCACTGTCGGATGGAGTGCGGGTAGTACAGTACAAGTCGGATGATGAGCACGTAAAGGTACAGCTAATGCATATCGTATTGAGCTCGATGTTAGCGCTTACTGTTAGCACGATAACCACTGCACCACCTTTACCACAATATGTGGAAATGCACTCCGCAGTTGGATTATCCGTTACTACACCGACCGTTTTCTAGACATCTTCCACCAGGCAATTACGATTATACGAGTACTCATTAAAATTTAAGGCGTCCGCCAAGCTACGGTGCAACCAGCCAGCCAAACGCATGTTAAGGCATTTAACAATGTAGCATGGGCCCATGGCGTAGTTTAAAGTTGTTTGGCGTTACCCATGAATTTACATTTTTCGCTCATTATCCGGACCGGCTTGTACTAGTACACCTTCTTATGCCTGACCAAGTCATGTCAGGAAAACAAATCTAAAAAGAAATCTTTGTGAACCAAAAAACTGTCGAAAAATCTTTGACAGTCCTCTGGGGGAAAAAAACTTAAAACGGGTGCCTATAGACTGCGGAAAAGGGGGGGTGCGAGAATTACCTTATAGAAAAGGAGTGCCTATAGTAAACGGGAACGGAAGGGGTGCCTATAGTCTCACCCTTAAATTAATTCAGATAAATTCACTACTAAAAAATCGTCTCTATACGGAATATCCAACGTCGCACAGGCAGTTCACGAATGCATTCAGACGAGAAGTTAATGCATTTACAACAGTGCTGATGAACTTGCCGGGAAAAACGTCGCTGACTGTCCACATCGACACCGGTTAGGATCAACGCGAGGATCGGAATCCATAAATCCTTAATGGACAATTCTTCCACACCTGGTGAGCATTCACCGGAAGGATCTTAAAACAAGGAGAATTATCATTAGTACAGCAACTACACTACAGTAATACAGAGAATTGTGCGCACATGACAGAATAATAATTGTTACCGTAAAGCAAACATGTGAAAGTGGCCTGCAGCTGCCACACAGAAATGTGCCTCTACGCGGCCACTACCAAAATGATCTTTATTGTGAAATGAAAAGGAACAATAAAGGCACAATGCCCGAACAAATGCACTCTATCCCGGAAGGGAAATACGACGGCAAAAACCACCACAAAGGCGATACTGGAACAAATCTGGAATTTATTCCAGATTTGGAAGCGTGCAAAAAACCAACTGAAAAAGGCAACACGATCGAACACGGCGGAATCGGTGCTGCCCTAAACGCCCCAACGTAACCACACTATCCTGGGCGGTGGCACCGATCGCCTAGCATGCCACGGGGCGGAACGGCCGAGGCCCCCCGAGGCTGCCACAAATCGCAAAACAAAACAGTGAGCAACATATGAGCAAAATGCGACCGAATCGGCGGCATATACTATGGTTAACAATCACAAAAATTCAGAAAAAATAGCGGAAATTATGAGATCCATTCCAACATGATGCGTTCCATTCCGGAGGCTTGCTTTATCCTCCAATGACGACTTTATTCAGCAGCTTCATCCGCACTCGCATCCGGCAGCATGTCAACGTCAGCGTCAGCGCCGGTAGTGTCAGGAGCGGTTTCGGCTGCGGCGACTGCGTTCAAAGCATCGCCAAGTACCTCAGAAAGTGCTGGTCGCACCGGCAACTCTTCCACTGTCTCGTGGAAAACATCGGCTTCATCGCCCTGCGGCGCAATCGGCTTTTCTGGCGATCTACCCGTCCAAGCAGGTAATCGTTCCGGATTTTCATATCGAATATAAAACATATATTCGGGATCGGTCATCTGTCTCAACGTCTTCTTTCTCAACTCAACGAGCATGGTTTCCACATACTCATTGGACGACGGCTCAACATGATCTTGATACGACTGTGTCGTAACATAAAAGTCGCGTTCGGCTTTATTCATACGGGACAACGGCAATTTCGCAAGTTCCTTCTCGTCGAAGGTCTCACGGGTCGGCGGGTACACAAGCACTGTCTCTACTTGTGTCGGCTGCGTAGTAACTGCTGATTGTTGTTCAACATTAGCTGCAACAATCGGTTCGGCTGGCGCGGGAACAGTCGGCAATTGCTGTTTCCGCACATGATCTACAACATTCGGCTCGTCATTAATTTTATTGCCATTATTGGCCGGCAATCGCAAAGTATTTTTACCTTGCTTATCGGTATTCGTACCAGATGATTTCACAGTCGTTGTATTCAACGACGACGGCGCAGACGAAAACTTCGCCATTGGCAAATTCGGCTTTACCACGGGAATAATAATCGGCTGTGTAAGGGGAGGAAGCTTGACAGGCTGTTTCCCGCCCATCACTCCCAACTGCGGCGATGCAGGATCACCTGCCGACTGTTTATTCCGATTATTTCGGAATTTCTGTTCCGGCTGTACAGTTTTGCTTCCTGTAGGAGCATCTGGCGAATCGGGCAAAGGGCGCTTTTTATATAGCTGGCCCTTGTCAAACTGCGTCTTGCGATCGCCGTATCGTTTCATACGGATATTGATATCGTCATAAAAACGATCGACTTGATCAGTATCCATTTCGACGTGACCGGCAGCAGCCAGGGTGTCTTTCAGCACCTGTGCTTCCTGCTGCTCAGTAAGCGGCTTCCCTAGCATTTCGATTAAATCCTTTAACAAGGCGTACTCGGCTCGTTCTTTACTTTGGTAGATCGCCTTGTGGGCGCTATGACTACCAAGTAATGCGGCAGCGATACTCATAGCGGCGAATTTCAATCCCGTATTGTAGGGAATCGGCGTCCAATCGATATTGCGCTCATTTAATTCCTGATTCAGGTAGTGAGCGATTTTACAGAAGAAAAAGAATTTTGCAGGGTCGGCTTGTGGCAGTACATACTGCATAAGGAATTTCTCGGTTACTGAATCTCCGTAAATCTTAAATTGAGAAATGATCTCAATGTCAACGGCGGTAATCGGCGTGTACAAGTGCTTTTTATCGAGCACTGTACGAAGATTATTACGGCGGCTCGACGCGTACGTAGTTATTTCCAACGAACGCGATAAATCGACAGTAGAATAATCGAACTCCATCATTCGATCTCTTAATCCTATCTTCCCCAAAAATGCCGCGGCATTCTGAATCATATTCTTCAGATGCAACATTTCCGGGCCATTCGTCTTCGCGATATCGGCAACAGTAGCCAGCTTATGTAAATAAATACCAAGATCGCTGGTATACTGAGTTACATCGCGCAGAATCCTATTAGGATCGATGGTCGGCTGGCGTGGTCGTCGAACACCACGCTTATCGCGAGAATTACTCTCACGCGGCGACGGTTGCTGAGATTCAGCCGGCTGATCATTCTGTGGTTTACTCGGCTCGTTGCGCTGCTGATAGCCAGCAGAACGGATATTCGACTGGTTTCCACGCTGTCTGCCACGTTTCTGCAAATCAGCGGACTTTTTAGTATCATACATCGACAAGTCTCTCCCGGCAACCACTATATTCTTGCCAGAATGGAGTGATTTTCAGACGGCTCTAACGTATATTCAATACGGTGTCGAGCACCAAACACAGATCGGCTACTGTCCGTAGAAGACGGCTCTTTAATCGACGTATTAGAGTCGTCGATAGACAAACTACCTACTTGTTTCGACAGTCCGACACGCGCGTCTGGTTGTACACGCGACGTGCTGGGTTGCGGTTCGAGTTTACGCTGCTGTGATGCAGCTCGGCTGGGATACTGCTGTTGTGCAGTATTTCCTCGGTACCCACGCTCATGCAGCCATGGATCAGAAGTCCCTGCACTGCTAGCACTACTCGGCGCCTGCTGTAAAAGCAGTGTATTAAACGGCTGTGTTATACATAATCGACGAGCAGGAATTATTAGACTATTTACCTGTTCGTTCTGCTGTCGGTAATACTGATATTGCGGCTGGTTAAAAGCCACATCGGCTTGCTGCTGGTACTGCGCATATTGCGCCGGCTGCTGGTACTGTTGATACTGCATCTGTGGATACTGCAGCATCTGCGACTGGTTGACGGGATTCACGGGATATCCCTGCGGCATATTTTCATTTAAATTTAAAACGTCTATTTCCCATTGACTGGGAATATTACGATTTAATGGGATACATTCCCAATCACTTAAAGAATAAGTATCAGTTTCAGAATCAGAATTATGTACCTGATTCATCGGCATCTGCACTTGTGCAGGATAACTGATCGGCAACTGCATTGGCGCAGCGTAACTAGGCTGCGACGGCAAATCGGCAGGCAGTGGCATATCACACCACTGTGGTTCACGTGCGGCTATTAGCTTCCGGGCTGCATCGTTCATCCTGATACGCAGCCAAGGTTTGGTCTGGAATACCGGCTCAAAATGCGTCTCACCCAATGTGACGTACGCATCCAAGTTGCAGTTGAGGACTTCGTTAACCAGGCGGCTCACGACGGTGTCCTTCTCCTGCTCGCTGTACAGCTTGTCTCCAAAGAGACAATCGGCGCACTTTCGGCGGTTAGTGTTATAACGGCAGCGATAACACTGCGTCGGCTCCATGTTATCTACAATGATTTACACGGTTAATTTACCATTTTTACGGCTACTTATCGCTATTTTAATTCGACTAATCGGCATCATATCAATTAAATAAAGAACGACGAGGTACGGACCACAATTTAGCGGGGGAATAATGAACGGCTATTAAATAACTAACCATCTTAATAGATAATTAATTATCGACTAATTTTACAGAAATAATATCGGTTATTAATCGGCTGTTAATTCTAGTATTAAATTATCGGCGTGACGGTCCGGGCGCATCCGCTGGATTAATTCGCCAAGTGATGCCCCGTTCCGGATCATTAACGGAAATTATACGCGGGTTGAATACCAACTCCGACACGGCTAATTCAACATAGTGATCAACGCGATTTCCCATTTCGGGACGAACCGTGCGAATATATTGCACTATTTCGTCGACAGTTGATCCCAATGGATCATTAATTTCGGCTATGGTACGGATCACCACTTCCTGCCATTGAGTGGCATCAAAAAGCGGGTAGTCTTGCAAAAACGATACATTCGGCGCTATGGTATAATATACCATCATCACCTACAACACAGTAAGCCCGGTGAATTGTACGGCATATTAATTACATGAATAATTCGAAAATTAATTCAGTAATTAATCGACAATTATTCAACGGCAATAATCACTATTAATTCATAAGTCAATAGTGAAAATTCTCCAGATTGGAGCGGCTAGTAAATATTTCGACAAGCGGTATGGACCACACAATTAGTGGGGATTTATTCGGCGAGAGGTATGGACCTCATGATAGTGGGGATATAATCGGCAATTATCGTACATGTACGTATCCGTTTTTATTACGGCGTACATGTAATTTCAATTTAGTCGACTTTTTCTTAATATTTTTACGGCTAATAGTTTCGGCAACCTCGCTTTCGGGTTCCCAGTGATCATCGTCATTGACGACTTCAACATTATCTTCGACGGTATTATTTGTAGCTTCAACGGCTTCTACGGTATCGGCTGGAATGAACGGTTCAGCATTCACATTTAACCCATTTTCGGCAGATTTCGGCAAAGAGATCGTAGTAGTTATTCCTTTACGATCCTCTTCGGTTGTATTAAAACGTTTGAGACGCTCGCAATTGACGATGCGAGTTTCTCCCGGCTTATCTTTATTTTCGATTTCAACGGCATTGGTATACGGGAAGCCAGTAACTTCCCATCTACCTCCGAATTTATCTCGAAAAGATTCGGTTTCACCCTTCTTCTTCTCTCGCTTTAGAAGAACTAGTTCACCGATCTGATAATCGTCTTCTCGACGTTTCTTATTAAAACGTTCGGCCGTTTTAATAAATTCCTCTCTCATGTAGATTTCGGCTAGCTCATGCGCTCGCGCTAAATTATGGCGAAATTCGTCCATGTATTCAGCTATCGACGCATGTTCGGCTGGTATATTGGTCTTAGTGACCGTATCGGCTGGAATAACTTGTTCACGCCCGTACAACATATAGTACGGCGACATATGAATAGTTTTATTCTGAACTCGGTTCTTAGCGGCTATTACGAACGGGAGAATGGTATCCCAATTCTTTTCCCGTCCATCGGCGGCATACATTGCCAACGAATCGGCAATTGTTTGCATTTGGCGTTCGACTAAGCCTCTACCAATTGGATGGTAGGCAGCACCAAAGTGATGCTGAATCTTTAAGCGATGGTTAATCGCCTCAAGAAGCTTATTGTGGAAATGTGTTCCACGATCGGTATTTAGGATATGCGGCGTACCGTACGGTAGAAATACGTCGTGAATCAGGAAACTAGCGACAGTTTCCTTTTTCGCATTAGGAATCGGCTTAGCTATTACGAACTTAGTCAATTCGTCAATAGCGACGGCTATATATGTATTACCTCTTGGGGTAATCGGCAAAGGTCCTTTTAAGTCCACTTGCACTCGGAACCACGGGGCTCCGATAGCTATCTGTTGTAGCTTACCCGGCGGTGCCTTCCGTTCGGTTTTACGGTGTTGGCACAAATAACAATTGCGTACGTACTTATCGATGTCGGCAACCATGCCGTCCCAATAATAACGAAGCGCAATTGCCTGATACGTCTTTAGTGGACCCAAATGTCCACTAGCCGGTGTATCGTGCATAGCATGCATTATATCGACACGCATATGCTTCGGCACGACGAACCGTCGATCAAGGCGGCCGTCCTTTTCGGTTAATCGGTATAAAACGCCGTTCCATAACTCGAAGTATGGATCGCGTTTAATTAAGTGAGTACTTTCGGCTCGGCCCTCTAGGGCATGAATTCGCTTTTCGACTACAGGATCCTTTTCCTGTTCGGCTCGATAATACTTAAAATTATCTTCGTCTTCATCGTGTTCGGCTGGGTCGGTGATAGTGACGACTCGAATGGTCGGAGTACTAAACTTCCGATCTTTCATGTCATCCCAGTCATCATCGTCGGCGGTCTCGACCGGTGGTCCGACTGGATGACGGCTTAAAGCATCAGCATTGTCGCATTGTTTGCCCGGCCGATATTGAATAGTCATCTTGTGACTACTCAACTGAAGTGCCCACCGGGTAAGGCGCCCGTTCAAGCCTTCTTTTCTCGACACAGAGCGTAACAAATTTGTTAACGCCTGATGATCGGTTTGCACATAGAAATGTGAATATTCGATAAAGTGTCGGAACTTACGGCATGCAAATACTACAGCCATACATTCCAATTCGGTGATCGGATATTTACGTTCGGCATCGGTTAAGAGTTTGCTAGCGTAAACGATGGGATGACCATCCTGATGTAGGATAGCTCCTATTCCTATCGTACTAGCATCGCACTCGATAACTGTCGGCTTATTTGGGTCAAATTTGACCAAAACCGGCGCATTAATCAATGCATTTTTCAAATCGACAAATTCGGCATCATGTTCGGCTGTCCATTTATTCTTAACATCGATCTCACCCTTTAGTAAGCCATACATGGCTCGGGTTCGGCTAGCGAAGTCCTTGACGAACTTACGGTAGTAATTACATAAACCGAGGAAAGATCGAAGATCTTTCTCAGTTTGCGGCTTCGGATATTGTTGAATCGCGGAGATTTTCTCCGGATCGGTTTTGATTCCGGCTTTAGACACTATGTGTCCAAGGAAGTGCAACTCGGTTTCACCGACATGGCACTTGCTCGGCTTAAGCGTGAAGCCGACCTTAACAAGGCATTCACACATTAGTCGGATTTTACGAATCAAATCGTCGAAATCCTTGGCGGCTACAATGATATCGTCTAAGTACGCAAAGATGTTCTCATTGCGTACCCCTACAAGAGCCTTATTCATGGTCTCTTGGAATGTTGCCGGCCCATTACACACGCCGAAAGGCATGCGTAAAAATTCGAAAAGACCGTCCTGCGTGATGAACGCAGTCTTTTCAATCGAGTCTTCGGCCATTTGTATCTGCCAGAACCCGGCATTACAATCGACGCCTACATAATATTCATTATCGGCTACGGATTGAAGCAATTCATCCGGTGACGGCAAAGGGTAGTTATTCTTTTTCGTTGCGTCGTTCAACTTTATATAGTTGACGCAGAAACGCGTGCCGATAGTACCGTCTGGATTCTTCTTAGAAGCCAGCACAACTGGGAAACACCAGTTGCTATTTGATCGGCGAATAATACCTTTTTCGAGCATTTCTTTAACATGCTCTTCAATTATCTCCCGACCTCGCCAAGAGGTACGGTGCGGCTTACATTTTATCGGCGGGGAATCACCCGTATCGATATGGTGCTTTACAATTGTAACGTCACCAAAAGGTCGGCGTTTAGTAGCAAATAGATCGGGATACTCAAGGAATACTTCCTTGATCTTCGCTATTTGTTCGGCTGTCAGCTTAGAATTAATCTTAAGCGCATCAACGGCTTCTCGGATTTCTTGTTGTTCTTCCGGCGTTCGTTCGGCTAATTTAACGGAATTAATACAGATCTCATCATCTTCTATCTCTTCGTACGGTTCGAGATACCCGATGAATTGACCTTTCTTGATCGACTTTCGGCTATTATGGAAATTGAACAATCCCAGTTCAAATTTCCCATTAGCGGGTCTTACGACACCTTCGATCGGCTTAATATGCCTCTCCATGTAAACATGTGGGCTCGGCAAGAACATAAACTTATCGGTCGAAAATTCTTCGGTTGGGTCGAATCGTGCTACTACTGCAGCCATATTTATACCAGGATTGATTAGAATTTTATCGGTAGCGAACACCTTAATCGATTGGAGGCGTGGGCTACGAGAAGTAGATTCAATAGTAGGCGACTCAGAAAATTCCCAAGTCTTATCAATAGCTGTGGGGTCAGTTGACTGATCAGGTTCAGCTGACTCCCTATTAATCGGCGTAGATTCAGTATTAACTACCGGCTCTACATTTGCAATGATTAGATTAGACGCGTCAAAGGATTGAATACTGGATAGAGTTTCGTTTAGGTCTGGTACTTTATTAGCTACAGTATCGGCATGATTCGGCTCGTTTGATTCGACATTCGCATTATTACGTGCGACATCGTCGTTCGGTTGCAATCTACATTCTATAGTCGGCTCGTCTTTATTAAACTCCATCACGGACGCCATTGGGTGAAAATGTGCCCGAGGCGCTCGGTTAGCTTTAGTTATGCCTTCCGTTTCGGGAGGCATATTATTCGGCTTATATTTCGGCTTTAATCGGTAGGGCAGCTTGACAGCTGACTCGGGTTTTAGTTGAATCATGCCTTCTAAATCGGCTCGTAAAACATATGGTACATTAAATTTGAAGTACTCAAATGCTTCCTTCAACTTCTCTTGTTTCTCTAACATCAAGAGATACTCGGCTGTGAAGGCAGAATCTAGGTTATTCGCAATTTGTTCGGCTTCCTTAGGACTAATGCCTGAAATCGGCGTACTGTCGTCTCCTAAGACAAGAATATCTTGTCGGGTTTTATGGAACAATTTCGTCAGTTCTTGTACTTCGGATACAAAAACTTGATACTCTTGCCATAACTTAGCAAACGACTTTCTCGGCGGCGGTAGTTTAATTTTCCTTTTGCTCGTGGTTTTTGCCACGGGTATCGGAACAATTTCGGCTTTAGGGGTCGGCTCTTTAGGAATATCAATAGCATTAATAGTTGGTTCCGATGCCACGGGTATCGGAACAATTTGTTCAATAGTATTCGGCTTTATAGATTCAACAACAGTTGGTTCGACTACAATAGTGTGGATCCTACGGATCCATTGTAATTCGTTATTACGGACACCATAGTTGGCACCGGCCAAGAAGTCCTGACCTAATAGCACTTTAGTGTCGTCGACAGTCGGCTTAACATAGAAAGAATGGTTGATTAGTTCACCAAATACTTTTACAGGTACCGTGCAGTAGTGGGTTACTAAAAATCCGCACATACCACCGATTCCTCTAATGTTTAGTGGCTTAACTAACGGTAGTTTCTCTAGTTTTAATTCGTCGACGAACTCATTCGAGATGAGTGACGTCTCGGCTCCAGTATCGATCATAACCATAACGGTTGTGCCTACAATGCGTGCCCACACCATTAACGGTGGCGCCCGCTTCGGCTCTTTAGTTGAATCGACTTTAGAATCATCAATATTGATTTCGTTAATAATCGGCTCGTTTAGTTCGGTCGGTTCGGTGATTCGGATACCACTAATAGTTATTATTTCAGTAGTATCCGGCATTTCACCAGGCAACCGGGGAGTACTGCCGGAAGTTACTCCCCGTTGTCGTTTTCCTGGCTACTTGCTGCTGTCGCATATTCATTTTGGTTCGGCGGCGGTGAACGTGACGTCGGCCTTGGACCGATCGGTCGGCCTTGGCCTTGGACACGCGGCTGTGAATTATTACGGGAACGGCTGCCATTAGGCGTGCTCGTTCCACTACCGGTTTGACTTCGGCTCCGGAAATCCCGGGCGTATCGGCGGCCTCCGGTTACCGGGTCGTGGTACGACAAATAGATTGGGTTTTCGGCTCGGGGCACGTCTTTAAACTGACAAGCCTCAAAGTAGTGCCCGCAGACATCGCACTGCTGGCAGTACTCGACTACTCGGCCATTTCTCATTTCCTTCTCCAACCGTGGAGCCCGGTTAGTATTCTCGGGAATACGTCCGGCATTCTCGGCCCACAGCTGGGAACGGTTCGACTGTTGATTATTGTTGTTATTGCCGGCTGGCCTAACATTACTGTTATTAGCATTACTTGCCGGCCTAATATTACCAGTATCGTTGCCATTATTGGCTGGTCGGTTTGGTCGGCGATTCCCCCCATTAATGGGGCGCGGCGGGCTAGCAGCCGCTGTCGCATAACTCGCCGGCTTCGGCTGGGTCTGTACCGTTCGAACGGTCACAGAGTCGGCATCTTGGTTCTTACGTTTACTGCCGACCGGAATCACATACTTTTCGGGATTACTCGCCGTCAAGTAGCGAATCTTCTCTAAAAATTCTTCCGGCGTACGAGGATCCATGCCCTCGATTTTGTCATGCAAAGTTGCATGCGGCTTAATGCCCTTCATTAGAAAGGTCACGAATTGATCCGGCGTACCGGCATACCCGGCCTTATCTCTCAGCGTCATCATCGCCTGAAAGAAACTCTCAAGCGATTCCTGACCTGGTCGGTACATTCGGTTCGTGAGTTCGGACAACGCATTTACAGAGCGTCTGGTATCTCCGAACCGCGCAACCAATTGGTTACGCCACTCCCGGTACGTAGTCGGCTTATTTGGGGACGTGAGCAGGCCGTTGTACCAGATAACCGCCTCATCCTTCAGGCAGTAGGCCAGTTCGGCTATCTTACGCTCATCGCTTACCCATCGGTTTTCTTTTGCGGCTTGCTCGAACTTGATAAGGAAACTATCAATATCTTCCTTACTGCCATTATACGACGGCCTAGGAACTGGCTGTCGTATGGCATCGGCTAGATCGGCTTTCCTTAATGGACTATTGGTTCGACTTGTTCGTTTACTTAGCTTACGCAGTTCTTCCCGCAGGGCTTCACAAATTGCCTCTGCCTCCTTATGGGAAACCTGCTGTCGGCTGATATGTTCTACTGTCGGGGCCGGCTCCATGCGGGAGTGCATGGTTTCGGGCTGGCCAGCGCGCATTCGCGTAGGCGGCCGTTCTTCATAATCGATCTGGTTTTCGGCGGCAGCTATCATCTGCTGGTGCGTTGCCAACAGGCGGTTGTACTTTTCGGCTAATATATTAAATTCCGACCGGTATCTCTCACTCGACTCTTGCAGCATAGAGATCGAAGCGAGTCGGTCGTTCGACTCTGTACTCAACTTCCCGTTCTCTTGTATAGCTTGGAGATACTGATTACGGAAGTTGGTCGACGAATCTTTTTCGGATTTTAATTCGGCTTTTAGCTGTTTAATTATATTATCTCGTTCGACGACTTTGGCTCCAAGCCCTACAGCGGCCTTATTCGCCTGATTATGGGCGCCTTTAGCAGTCCGTAACTGCTCGTTTAAATTATCTTGATCGGCTGTCATATCGCAAATCGTTTTATTACGCTTTGCGATAAGCTGTTCGGCTTTCTCAAGTCGAACCCTGAGATCCGAAACTTGATTTTGCAGTTCTACTACTGTATCAGTAGCCTGCATTAAAAGGCTCATACGCGGCCCTTTTTCTCCTGTTGGTTGCATCGGCGGAATTTTTAAAACCGGCGTCAGGTCCTTCCCTAAAACCTTATCAATAAGGCTCGGGCTGGAGTGTGCCTTCGGTATCAACGGTACTACCGTTGTCGGCTCATCATCGTCTTCGTCCGAAGAGTCGACCGACTCCTTGGACGCTGGTTCGCTAATATTGATCAGCGATACCGACGATTCGGTCGACGTTGTCGACGCTGTTACGCTGTCGACTCGTTCGACACTCGGTTGTGTCTCTACTTCGATCATAGCCTCGTTTAGGTCTTTAGGGACCATCGGCGAGGCCGGCTGTTCTACCGCTTCAGGTACCGGTAGATCGGCTAATGGTGCTCTTTTCGGCTTTCTTTTATTGGTTTGCAGTACTTGATGTACTACTTCCTCACCACCGGCTACTATTTGTTTTGCTTTCCCGCGGGTAACATTGCGGGCTGCGTTATCATTAATTTCTGTATCTTTCGGCTGATTTCGAATTAATCGATCGGCTGTTCGTAAGAGATTATTAGCGAACTGTTTCGCTTTATTTACTGGTGTTCGCTCCATATCGGCGATATTATTGAAATACAACCGGTAATTATGACGATTATACTCTAATAACTGATACGGCAAATTTAGAGGTAACTCACTTTCAACTTCCCACGAATGGGTCGGCGAAAAATCGACCAAGTCACGAAACGATGTTCGATTTAAATGAAAAGAGTGTAAGCGGTAAATCGCGGCAGTCGTTATTGTAATTAATACTTGATGACACTATTGACACCCTATACTTCCGACTGGTACAACCGGCACTCCATAGATCTCAATATTTCAGTTATTGAAATAATTCAATAAGTGAACGGCGATTAATCAAGTCAATAGTAATTATAGACTAATTACTCGGCAGTTTTCGGCTTTTGCATTCAATCAGTCTCCAGTAGGGAGGCTGATGAACCTTCTACACTATCCGGCTAATCGGGCCTAGATGGCCTTTGAAATTTCGAGATTAAATCTACAATGTAGATTCGGCTAATACAGTGGAAATATGGGTTATTAAATCCCAAAATTTTCACTGGAATTGTTGAAAGTAAGTTTAATGATTCATTTAAATTATCATCACAATTTCAACGGTTAATCAACTAATGTACGACTTACAGCTTTTCTGTAATATCGATTTCAAAACTACACGGTGATCGCTCGGCTTTGATTACAGTAGGTACTGTAATGTCGGTGTGCAGACTACGGAAATTACCGTTCGACACGGGAAGGTGAACTTCCGTGATTCGGTAGTTTTATTGACGATATTTTACGGATAAATTCTTGCGAATTTATCCCGACAATAAGTATATTTCGGCTTTAATTATTGAGGCGAAAATTACAGATAAACTGTAATTCCGGTTGTACAAAACGAATAACATCCGTTGTATAGCATGGGAATACAGTTTCCATGTTTTCGACAAGGAAATACGGCGTAATTCCTTCGATAAATTCTCGCGAATTTATCTCAATAATTATCGAAAACAATTCATAAAAATCGAGGCGATCGGCTACAGCTTTAGCTGAATTTCGACATTAATTTCCTAATGGAAATTGACGGCAATATCGCTTTTTGCGATTAAATTGAATGAAAACGGTAACTCTGTATTTCGGCAAGAATTTTCGGAAATTTACAACCTTCCTTGCGGAAAAATTGTACGGCTAAATAGGTCTGAAGACCTAATCGATTTCTGCAATAAAGCAGAGCGGCCTACTGTGGCAGAGTCCACGAAGAACTCACCACAACACGGTAGAAAACGGCGATTTAAGTACAGTAGCTTTTAGGGCTACGGTACACGGCAATATTTAAATAAATTCTAGAGCATGCGCCTCTAGAATTACACGGTAAAATTCTAGAAAGATTCTAGATTTTCGGTGGTCGAAGACAACGATAAAATATGAAAATAACGTGATTAAATCGGCCGTAAAATGTCGACACATTCACGGCTTACGGCGGCTAAATACAGTAGCTTTCAACAGCTCCCGTTCGACGATAAAATTGTAAAACTCTAGAGGAAACCTCTAGAGTTATCGGCAAAACGTTCTAGAAGAATTCTAGAATTTTTTCGGCAGATAGTTTGCTATTGCAAACACGGCTTACCTGCACTGACACGACGTGACGAGTACGGCGCGGTGCTTTCGGTGCTTGCTTGCTTTCCGACTGTCGTCCGGAACGCAGGATCTCGAATCCGCTTTGCTGCTCCCTCACGGATGAATGCCCACGGTCTGGTCGTTCGTCCGGTGTGCGGGGATGTCAGCTATCGGTTGATGACGTAGGGAAATCAGCTCCGGTCCTCCGCGATGTGTCGGTTGACGTGGCTGATGCTTTCGGGTTTTTGGTACGGCTCAACTCCACACTGCGCTGTAGCGAGAGCGTGGAATCCGTTTGACCGTACAGGAAAATCGGCAAGTGCGCGCAGTTAATGACGCACACACGGTGGCAATTTTAAATTAAATTAAAATTATCGGCTAAATGCGGCGCGCAAGGCAAAATGCCTGCTGACCGTAACGAAAATCAATCAGTCAGTACAGGATTACGGGGATCGAACTTGCATCTCCACCATGAAAGTGGCCTGCAGCTGCCACACAGAAATGTGCCTCTACGCGGCCACTACCAAAATGATCTTTATTGTGAAATGAAAAGGAACAATAAAGGCACAATGCCCGAACAAATGCACTCTATCCCGGAAGGGAAATACGACGGCAAAAACCACCACAAAGGCGATACTGGAACAAATCTGGAATTTATTCCAGATTTGGAAGCGTGCAAAAAACCAACTGAAAAAGGCAACACGATCGAACACGGCGGAATCGGTGCTGCCCTAAACGCCCCAACGTAACCACACTATCCTGGGCGGTGGCACCGATCGCCTAGCACATGGATGCTTAGAACTGAAATACCGCACTCCAAAGCTTTTCTAAAAGAATTATTAAGTCTGGCGGTTGTTAGAGGAATGCTGCTGCTATTTTGAGAGCACTTAATGCGCGCGAGCCAAGATTTTGAAGAACACTAACGATTTTGGTTGTTCTTCAACGTTTAAGTTGTCGATTATTTTACCTAAGTAGCGTTTTTCATCCCCGCCTTTTTGTTTATGAGAACAGGGCCATTGCCAAATAAATCACAGCTGATTATAATAATTACAGTAAAGTAAGTAATTAAACTAAGTACTAATTTGCCATACATCTTTCAAATTAGGCCAATCGTGCACTGACCGTATTCTAGCTGCCTCGGTACGGCGCCGATGCCATCCACTGGAACTGGATGCTGGCGGAGATAACGGTCGCAGGCCTTCTGGAGAGCTTCCTCAGTCCAAGACATCCGGCGCCCGGTTGCCGCATTGTGTAGCTCCAGACAGACGAACGTTATAGTGTCCGCTCCCGCTCGCACAAACACACGTGGAGATACATCGACACCTTGATACTCCAGGTGGTCCTCCCCCGCAACGGGTGCCGGGAACGCGGGAACGGCGTAGAACGGCGTGGCACCACCGTGCACCCGCCTCCAAGGCGAACTACCCATCAGACGCTCAGCACTGCCCAGACGGAACTGGCATGCCCGGCCCACGAAGACCGGTAGATGATCGACATCGCGAATCAGGCCTTCGGCAGGAACGGGGATCACGTGCTTCGTGTATGTCAAACCATCCGTGCGTTCAAAAAAACTCTGTCCATCATCCAGCACGGGCAGGCAGTCAACGAACAGACTCCTTTCCACGAAGAAACAGTCCTCCGGGTTTTTATCATCCAGGCATACAGCCAGGTACACGCCCAAGTGCGCCAAGCCGCTGGCAGGACGGAAGACCAGCGGTCCACCCGGGCGCTCCCGGAGGGCTACCTGCACGACGGTATGGACGTATGGCTCCACAGTATTATAGCGGGGCCGGGAGTGATGCGGCCAGACGCGGCTGGAAGGCATCCATTCGGCCGCCACGGTGCTGGCGTCGAAATCAACGAGGAAATCCGGACCGCGGACGTCCTGCACGTATCGATCCCAGCCACCATTGGCCACCGTCGCGCTGCACCAGCACCGTGTTGCCGTAGTTGATCTCCCGTGCACCCGACCACATCTCGCGGAAGAAGCGTGGTGCTGCGTTCATGGTGCTTACCAACATATACGCGACATCAGGAACGTGCAATGATCTATAGCAGCTGATAGCATGCTGACAGTGAGTAAGTACTGTACGACTTACTCGATGCGATGCAGCTGTGCAAAATCAGCAGAATTTCTAGAAAAAAATAAAAGTTTTACATGCAGCGATCTTACACCGGTACGGTATGGGGATCTACACTATAAGCAAAATGACAGCTTCACTCTTCAGTCTTTACGAAAACAACCAGCTGTCAGACTAAAATTCACAAAGTCTTTGTGACTTTGTGAATTTTAGTCTTTTTTTGGATGACAAAGTTTCCAGTTTCTGATCACCGCCAATCGCGATTAAACAGACTGTGCACCGGCCTATTCGCAGTGCGCACCATTTGCGATTACGGCGACCGCCCCGAGCTGTGTGCTGCTTATGCGTACCCGTATCGTTCCTTTTGCGATTTTGTTCGTTCGGTTACAAATTTTTTTCCAAGTAATTTTCATATCGACTGTCGACTCGTTTATAATTTTTACAGTCGTTTAACTTTTAAGGTTTATAGTTTTGGTTTTAGTCGTAAATATTTTCGTTATGTGAATACTTTCTGATTAGTTTATTATTAACCTGGAAGTGTGGAACTTGGGAACGTGCTCCTTTTCTGTAAGGAGTTTGATGGATGTTGTTAAAATAAATCGCTGATTGTGAAACGGCATAAACGCATTTAGTGGTAGAAATAGTGTGCTTCATTCCCCGTACCCTGTGGTTAGATCTGCATAGCCAAAACAGGGAACTGACTGAGAGCGCACTGTTCCTCTCGGGATTATTTCGACTTCAAGCAGACATATCCCTTGTCCTTGTGTGTCACAGTGTGTGTAATTCCCTTTGCTCTTTGGTGTCTGATGTTGATTTCATCGATTCGCAGAGTATCCCAGCTGTATGAACGGTCAGAAGAAGACCATGTCGGCGTACATCCACCGCTCCCAGTCGCACATGGACTCCCCCACCGCCAAGTACTCCGATACGGCGGACGATGACGAAATGGCCGTGTTTGATGGTGAAGGGCGCATCGGCGACCAGAACGGCTTGGGCAAGGTGTCCAATCCGCTGAAAATCTTCCGTGCGGCGAAGAAGAAGATTGGGGATATTTTTAAAGAGCTGGATGATCATATGAAGCAGAGCAGTGCCTTTTTTAACAGTAAGGTGGAGTTCTAGAAAAGTGTTGCGAAATCGAAAGTACTCCAAATTTAAAAATGGATATAAGGATATTATTTAAATTTATATAATTATATGTTCCGTTTTTTAAATGCTCAGTTGAAACTGGTATTGGCAAACTAAAAAATTCGGATTAAAATTTATTTTAAGGAATTAAAAATGGTGGTGTGATTCCCGATGATGTGGCCGTGACGAATGATGTGGATGAAAATTGTGAGAAAATCAGAGGAATTCTCGATGTGGTTTCCCGTGATCACATGAAAGTCGTCTTTTTCGGCAGGTAATTGAATTCAGATATTTCCTAAGAAGGTGGATTCTGGGTGTGCTATGATTAGAGATATTTTATGTATTTTCTAGATTTTTTTCTTTGCCTGTTACGGTTTCTCGAATTATTTTGTCATTTTTCCAACAGTTTTTCGGTTGATTTAGGACGAGTAATGGAAAGTCTTCGGTGATCAATGCCATGTTACGGGACAGAATTTTACCCACCGGAATCGGCCACACGACGAACTGTTTTATCCAGGTGGAAGGTATTGACGGTGAAGAACCGTACGCTTTAGTGGAAGGATCGAATCAGCGCTATAACGTCACGGTAAGTTGCTTTAAAATAGACAAAACTCAAGAAATATGTAAAAATTTTCTTTTGACTGCGCTAGTCATGATGTTCTTCCGTTGTTATTCATATTGTATACATGATATTTTGTGCAAATAATATTTTAATGTGTAACAAAATAGTTTTATTGTGAACAATTCGTTGATCTTAAATAAAATTATTTTCTTAGCTTAATTTCTTACACACTTTTCTTTTATATATTTTAAGAATTTATTGATAAAAATTGTTATTTCCGTTTACGATGAAGAATCGAACGTTTTTCATGAACCTGGTAATGAAGAAGCATTAAACATTGTGTTGTTGTTTTGGGTTGTACGAAGTTTTGTTTAGTAAGTTTTGTTTCCTGCTTTTGTTGTTTTGATTTTTAATTTCATTTGATTGTTTAGTATTAATGTACTTAACAATGATTTTGTGTTTTGCATGTTATTTTTGCTTGGTTTTGTCAAAGAATTTTGTTGGAGATTGATTAATTTTTTATCGGAATGGTTTGCCTGATTTTTTTTTCTTGATTTTTGCAGTCGATAAAAAGTCTGTCGCATGCCTTGAGCGCCGAGCATCTCAGCGAGCAGACGCTGGTGAAGCTGATGTGGCCGAAGAGCAAGTGCTACCTCCTGCAAGAGGACGTCGTGCTGGTGGACAGTCCGGGCATCGACGTTACCGCCAACACCGACAGCTGGATCGACAAGTACTGCACGGACGCCGACGTCTTCGTGCTCGTCGCCAACGCCGAGTCCACGCTCATGCAGACGGAGAAGAACTTCTTCCACAAAGTCAGCACCAAACTCTCCCAGCCCCACGTCTTTATCCTCAATAATCGCTGGGATGCGTCGGCCAACGAGCCGGAAACGATGGACGATGTAAGTGCTTAGTTTAGTAATTTTCGAGAGGCGAATTTTCCATGTAATGAATTTTTTTAAAATTGACAGTAATAATATTCAGCACCTCATGTCCCCCGCTCTCATTCATCTGATGATTGAGGGACCTTTTACCTGGTGCAAGATTATGTTACTCCGAATTCTGCTCATTGACTTTCTGCGCGAGAATTTCCGTGCAATGAATTCACACAGCTGTGTTAAAATCAACAATTATTTTTGCTTGGAATTATCAGACATCTATACTTATTTATTTGTTATTTATTTATTTATTGGCACAACTGCGTTAACCAGCAAGAAATAAAAGAATTATTACGGTATGGTTTTTGTTTAGTTTCCGCTGTGCAACTCTTCTCATGAATTTTATGAATCATTTGAATTATTGGAAATATTGTTAGTAGTTTTGAAAACTTCTTATGTATTTTGATTGTTTTCGATTGCTCTCCCGTATTCCTAAATTTAATGGAGTAAATTATCGATTTTTTTGCTGTCAAAATTATTTTACATATTTTTGAGTAGCTTTTATGTATCAGACTATCACATTTGCCGTATTGCTTTTCTTTGATCCTTTAGATTTGCATTTTTGTGAAAATAAGTAAAATAGCAAGTTGTTATTGTAAAAGTGAAATAAGCAATTAATGTGATTAAACTAAATTAAATTCAAGTAAATTTAAGTGATTAATTTTTGTTGTTTGTTGTAGGTGCGGAAGCAGCATTTAAGCCGCAATCTAGAGTTCCTAACCGAAGAATTGAAGGGTATCTCCAAACAGCAGGCCATTGAGCGCGTGTATTTCGTCTCCGCCAAAGAAGTCCTGACCACCGCCATGAAGAAGCAGAAGAACGAGGAAGTCAATACGGCGAATTTCGCGGACGGTTATTTAATGCGGATGCATGATTTTGAGACGTTCGAACGAAAATTCCAACAGTGTATTTCGAAATCCGCTGTCCGCACCAAATTCGAACAGCACACGGTGCAGGGCCGGAAGATCGCTCGTGTTATCCGCTCACAACTGGAATTGGTGTATGATCGCGCTAACTCAAGAAGGTACGTCGAATTTGTTGCATATTTGTGTTTTTTGTTGTTTTTTTCAAATTTATTACTACTTGAATATTTAATTTTTAATTATTGGGTTAAAGTTTATGCATTGACGTGTGATCCAGTTAATAATAGGTGTATTTATTGCATTTCCGATGAATTTTATGTTTAACTTTTTTTGACTATGTAAAATAAATAATTTAACAGATCATAAATAAAATAAATCATTACTGCTATTTTATTGTTATTTTTTGATTTATTAATTTATTTACTGTAGAGCGAGTCGTGAAGAAGAGCGTCTGCGGCAGGAAGCAGTCTTCCAGATGAAGACGACGCATTACGAGGCATTAATCGTCGAATTCAAGGAAAAGATCGATTTACTCTCCCGAAAAGCTGGACAGGAGGTGTGTTGCAAACTTGCACCAAATTGTTTTTCGAACAGTGTACCTTTAATCCTTTTGCGGATTTGTGCATAATATTTTGCAAATTGTTATCAGGTTATTGCGGGATTCCGAGAGGAACTGGGCAAACTTCCAACGACCGTGAATTCGTATTCACGAAACTGGCCGTTGACGAACGAACAAATGGAAATCTACAAAGCTGTACGCAGTTTTTATAAGCAATTTTTAATCAGTTATCTGTATCAAAATTTGTTAAATGTTTCTTCCAGAATCACTGAAGCAATTTTTTCGAGTAATTATTTTCATTTAGTTATCGAATGTTTCTTCAGAAAATCAGTGGACCAGTTTTTGAACAATTATTTTTATTATATCTGTTGAACGTTTATTCAGAAAATCATTGTTTTAAAAATTATTCAACAAGTTAGCATTAGAACTATTCAGGAAATCATTCTCGTGTTTTGAAAATGATGAAGAATCATGGTCGTTTGCGTATGTTAAAGTTGCTGTTTACTTTTGCGCAAAAGTTAAACTGCCGTTTATGTAAATTTATGCAGTTTTTCTCTAATTTTGCTGTTGTTTTTTATTATTTATTATTTAGTGTCTAATTATTGTGTATTTTAATTTGCATTTATTTTTCGTTCGTTCAGGGTCTGTACGAGACGTTCGAGCGGAATCTGCTGCGCAACTTCGAAGCGCGCTGCTCCGTCCCGGTGAATAATGCCGTTGATCTCCTGCATCGGGAAATGCTGAGTATGAATCTATTACCAACATGCTGCAGTTATCATTACTTTTACACAGTTTTGTGTTAGACCGTCTCGGCGCCCTCCTCCCCGACCAGTCGCGCGACGTCCTCCTAGCCCCCCTCCACCGGCGCCACCGCTTCAATCTGCGCGTCCACTTCGGCATCCCCGAGATGTGTGTCGGCTTCCACGAAGATCTGACCTTCCGTTTCTCCTTAGGCTGGGACCGGCTAGCGCGCCTGGTACTCAACCGGAATGAAGTTCGTAAACTGACATTTTTCGGCTTCTTACCAGCGGTAAATTTTGAACAGTGTGCTGTGATGGGGTGGTGGTGGGAACTTTTGGGAAGAATTTTTCATTTAAACGGTGCGAGGATTTTGATTATTTTTATTTTTTTTGCAGCGTCAGATCGAGCCGCCGCCCGTCCCGGCGGGCTATCCCAAATCGGCGGAGGTCGGGACGACGGTGCGCGATGTGGTCATGCCCAAGTCGGCGCCGGCCGCGCTGCCCACCCAGCCGACGGAGCGCAATCTGGATTTGGTGGAAATCGCGGCGATTTTATCCAAGTGCGGAGTGGGCACCGGCGCCGTTGTCTTCATGGTAAGCTACGTGGTTGAGTGTTGACGTTTTACGAATACTGGATATGCTGCGATGGGTTTCGATATTTGTAATACTACTACTACTAGTAACTACTACTGGTAACTGTAATACTACTAGTAAATTACTATCAGATTCAATTATTTTTAATACATTTTTAAATTGTGCGAAATGCCGTTAGAGTTGGCGAATTTCGCTTCTGCACAAATGGTGTTGGTAACTGCTTGCTACGCCGGAAGTAAGTTTTTCAGCATAATGATTGTATTACTTTAATAATTTAATATTTATTGGAAACATTCATTGTGGGTAACTGTCTGAATAATGTAATAATAGTACATACTTTGGTCGCAGTTTTGTTATTAAAATAAATCAGTTAATTCGTGATTGCGTTAACTAATTTCGTGCTTGATTTTTAAGGTATGGCGCAGTATTGGTTGGCGTGTCATCGCCGGGGCCGCGGCCACGTACGGTTTGCTTTACGGCGCCGAGCGACTAGCCTGGCATTTCCGCACCCGTCGGCGTGTGTTCAAACAGCAGTTCATCGATTTCGTCAAGCCACAACTGGCCAGTTTAATCCATCCGACGGCCAACAGTACGACGTGCCAAGTTCAGGAGTAAGTTTTGTCGCATAAATAAATTTAATTAAATTAAAACTAATTGATTTAGAAATTACATTTATTTAAAATGAAATTAATCAGTTGGTCTGTTTTTCATCGGAAGTAACGGAGGATTTTTGTGGATAATGTTGCAGGGAATTGACGTATAACTATCAGGAATTATTGCGGATGGTCAACGAATCCACGATGGAGTTGTCGGAGCGCATCGCCGCGCTGCGGAAGGAAGTGCGCTCACTGGATGACGTCACTTCGCAGGCGGATAGTCTCAAGTGCGTTCGTTATCAGCGCCATCTGCATAATAAATTTTTTTCTTGCTAAATTTAGCTGAATTTTTTTACATGTAGACTAAATTTTGCTGAATTTTTTGAAATGTGGATTTAAATTGATGCTTCAGATAGGTTTAAATTTGATTCCATACAAATGTACCCACGCGGATTTAAACTAATTAAAATGATTAAATTTATGAGTTCTGATTTTTATATATCCTAGATTTTCTGATTTGTATGTATTTTTATGGATTATTTAAAAATATTTGCTGTTTGAATTGAAATTGAATTCAACATTTTATTCGTTTCATCGAGTAGGTACCGAACAAAAACATGGTTGCAAATTTTTCTGTTGCAGACGAACATCGGCGGATGTGGAGATGAAGCTGCAGAATTTCCTGGACAGTTTCATCGCGCCGCAGCAGTTACAGTCCGGCGAAGATCTGACCCGTCCCAACGAAGAGTTCTGGGCCACCTAAGACGCTTGTGTGTGTATTGCTCGCGAGCATTGTTTGATTTCTTCGAACACCCGACTGCATGTATTTATTTCCTGCTGCGTTTGTACCTGAGGTGGTTCCTCACTAGTTTGCAAAACGGTTGGGAAGAGTTTGTTGATATAAACGTTCGACTGTAGTTGGGGTGATTTTTAATGTGTTTTTCCTTATACTGTGTTTTTTTTGCCGAATTTTTCTCGGCTGTTTAAAATGTGTGGTTTGGTTAGTTGTGTTAGGAAGTTGCTGTGTTTTTGCCTTTGGAGAATTAAAGGTTATTTATGCAGTTAAGAAATGCTCATTCGGAAAATAAGAAACTTTACAGACGGCTTGAAAAGCGCTCTTGTAGAAAAAGAATTATTTTTGATATCTTTATTGTATTATTTTTGTCATAATTATTTTAAATTTGATTTTTTGTATTTATCGATTATTTCATTTTTTTATGTTTATTATTAATTTGTTATCATTATTTTACGTATTTATTTTTGTTTCCTTTCAATTTTGTACCGCGTTTTAAAATCTAGCGCAAAGCAACTAAAAGTTGAAAGTAAAATTTTCGTTTTCAAATTTTATAAATTCAAAATCCTAATAAGTATTTATTATTAACTCATTATGGTTTATAATTTATACCGTAAAGAGTAATGACAAGAATGCGGTTATGATGTCAGATCAATGGAGAATTTTTAGCCGACACACACATGACTGCAATTTACACCGGAAGCGCGGCATACCAATTCCACTAGGCAGTGTATTTCCGTCACAATTGGAATTTATTATCGTATGCATTTGTGATCGCGCGCAGTTTATGGAAATGGTATTGGTATCGTTTTCTTTTCCTCGCAGTGTCATGTTTTCCAGATTGCTCAGTGCTCACTGCAGAAAATTTGCTTCTCCAGAGGAAAAATTTCGCACAACTGCTTTCCTCTTTACGTTTTTTGTCTGATGCAGCTGGTCTGTGTCTTCCACGTTTTTTAATACGGCAAAACAGCGAACTCTCATGGTGGCCAGTGTGCCCTGCAGAACCGCGTAAAACAACCAGCTGCAATTTAGTTTTCCAGGTTTCAGCTGTTGTGGTTTCTCAGCCTGTTTTCAGTGTCCCATTTTGTCCCATACTTTCCCCCCACATTCTCCACAGATCATGGCCGACGGCAATGAAAATGAAGTGGAGATGCTATCCGATGATTCGGAGGAGTACGACACGGCGCAGGAGTACTCGGATGAATATTTCCCCTTCGACAACGACGACGCAGCAGCCAGTGCAGCTGGTCCGCCAGGCATTCCGTCGTTCATCTCCCCCTACGCCAATCCCGCCCAGGCCCCCGCACCGGCCCCCCAGAACGGCGCCGTCCTGCCGCCGTCCGCCAATATCGTCAACTGGACCGGGTACAGTTATTCGCATCTGCACTCGGGCGGACCTGCGTACCAAGGTAGAAAATAGTGGCTAAAAAAATAAAGTAGTGCCAGTTGTACCACGGCGCATTGGCGTTTCCCCTGTACAGCGATTGGCTGTAGCATGGTGTAGTACCGGTGTGTGACAGTATGCGATGGGTTTACCGTTAAATACGGCGTTACTTGTTATGTTTATGTCTGTCTGTGTACATTTGTGGTAGCCAGTACAGGGATTGAGTACGGGGAAGTTCAGTTTTTTCTGGTTTTTCATAGCAAATCTGGCCAGCCAACTGCAGCAATCCGCCGCCGCGTTGCAAGCGTCTGCCGCCGCCATGGGCATGCAGGTAGGAGCGGGGGCGCAGCATCTGCCGCCGCCGCCCGCTGTCGGCGCCCCTCCGGGGCCCGGCTCCCCGGCCAACCCCTTCATGAGCGAGATGCGCATGCACAACTCGTGGGATCCGCTGCATTCCGCGGAATGGGACCGCAATGCGCCGAGCGATCTCTGTCTGGGCCGTATCGCGCGCGATCTGCACAGTTTATTCACCGATCCGATTCCGGTAAGGTTTTTCTGCATTTTATTCCTTATTTTTTGTAATAAAGCTTCCAGCCCCTTTTTTTATAAAATAATGCGCACACTGCAAGAATGATTTGATTCTATCGATTTATAATGATTTTTGACAGAATATACTGATTTTATTCTGTTTATTTTATTGAACAAATTTGATTTTCCAAATTTGGACCGACACATAATAGTACGTCATCAATAATGGGCTGTACTACACGTGTGGATTTTTCAAAAATCGTTCATAGTTTAAATTTTTATTGACAGTGTCTGTTTAACATCGGGAACATTTTTTATGATTTTTGAGGGAATTTTTGCTGATTTTTTCACGAGTTTTTCTGCATTTCTTCATGTTGTTGTAGGGCGTCGTTGTGCATGCCTTTGAAAGCAATGTGACGAAGATGTTGGCCTTGATTACGGGACCAGTGGGAACTCCGTACGAAGGCGAGGAAATTGCGCACGGGATACCGAAATATCGGAAAATTTAAAACGGAGTTTTCGGTGTTTTTAGGTGGGTTTTTCGAGTTCTTCCTGCGCTGTCCGCCGGATTATCCCATCACTCATCCACGGGTGCGTTTGCTCACAACCGGCGGCGATACGGTGCGCTTCAATCCGAATCTCTATGCGAACGGCAAGGTCTGCTTGAGTCTCTTGGGGTACGTACGAAAAAATTAAAATCAAATTTATTACAATAAAATACTGTAATATTTGGACAATAATGTGTTGAAATACGGCATTAATTAATGATTAAAGGAAATGTTATTAAATAGAATCATTGCGGAATAATATTGATAAGTAAAACGTTAGTTTATTTTCAGCGACTTTCATTACGGGAATGGATGTTATTTAGTTAAGAAAAGCCACAAAAATTACAAATAATTGTGGACGAAGTGAAGAAATTAATATACATGTAATTTTGGCTAATGTTGTGAAAAATGTATCGGTTTTTTTTCTGCAGAACTTGGAGCGGACCAGCGTGGAGTCCCGCATTGAATATCTCCAGTTTGCTTCTCTCAATCCAGAGTCTCATGGGGTAAATTGAAAATACTGATACTTATTTTCCACACCACCATATTCACTGCGATGCAAAATATCCAGAAGCGAATTTTCTCGTCAAAATATATTCGAATAAAGATCGCTTGTGGATATTTTGAATATCCAGAAGCGGTCTTTATTCGATTATATTTATGACGTGAAAATTTATTGCTCTAGCTGATTACTGATAGGTTGTCTATGATTGTGCTTCCATCGATGATTTTCCTCTGGTAGTTTTTTGTTCTCCCGACTAAAGTGCTGCTTGTTCTTTAGGGAATTTCCCTATCGTAATGAACCGGGATTCGAAAAGTCTCCGGAGAACAGCCCGGAAGTGGTGCGCTACAATATCGCCATCAAACATGAGACGATCCGCGTGGCGGTAAGATTTACGCATTTTTCTTCCGTTTCCATAATTTTATTAAGTTTTTTTTGTACGTTATTTGAAACTGTTCGTCTACGAATTAAAATTGATATTTGGAACGTAAATAATATTTTACTAATTCATGTTGATGATTTTTTAAAAGAAAATGTTAAAAAAATGTTTGACAGAAGAGAAACATCTGCAAAATATTTTTGCCTGTGGCTATGATTCGTATGCATATGAAGCGTTAAAATCAGTTGGATATAGTCGACGCTAAGTCGTGTCAAGTGTAAACTCAGAAATAAATAAGTTAGACTGATTAATGTTATTTTTTTCCTTCATTTAATACAGGTAATCGAGATGGTTGAGCTGGCGCTGAAGTCGGTGCAGCCGATGGCGGTGGGAGCCGGCGATGAGTTCAGCAAGATGCCGGAGATGTTCCGCAAGCGCATTCTCACGGAATTCCTCCGGATCTATCCCAATTATCTGCGTATTATCGACGAACAGATGAAGAACACGTCGGCGGCACGCCACGGCGGCGGTATCGCGGTAAGGATTAACAGAATGCACTTAGGCGATCGCTTTATGTTATATGGTGTTTCCTACTTATTTTGTCATTCGCTGATAAATTGGTCTGGATTAATCATTTTAATGTTGTTGTCGAAAATATGTTGCAGTGCTGACAATTATTTCTTCCTAATTATTTCTTCGTTTTTAATCCCTAATCCTTAGCACTGTTTTAATTACTTACTTAATATTATTCGGTATCTTCTTTTTTATTAAAAAGCATTCAGTATCTTTTGTTTATATTGTTGGTAGCTGGGTTCAATATTAGATTATTTCGGTAAAATTTGCTGAAATGTGTTTTGTAAATATATAGTTTGTAATTGACTTTTTTTCGAGCAAAATAAAGTTCAAGAAATCCTGAATAATTTTTATTAAAAAATTCAAAATTCACTTGGGATTATAAGGGAAAGTAAGATTTAATTAGGCACAAATAATTTAATATAATAAATGGAATATTAAATGGACAAGCCAATAGTTATACTTTCCAACAAGTAAATGTGTACGCGTACTTGTACTGAATTTTCGATACTGAACAGTCGATTAAATCGCACTAAATTAGGATCGTTTCAAAAAAAGTTAGTTTCAGTTAAAATTGTATCAGAAATTAAATTAAACCTTAATTGAAATCGTTTTAAAAAATCGATGAAGCGCATTTAAATTGCATATTTAAATCAAAATCGTAAGAAATATAAATTAAATCTTTATTAAAATCGTTTGAAAAAATCGATAAATCGCATTTAATTAAAATCGTATTAGAAAATCGATTTAACCGTAAATAAATTTTTTTTTCGTTGACAGGCGCATTTCATGGAAGGCCGCATAAAGTACAACTGGAAGCAGCTGGCGGAGAAACTGCCGCCCCTGCAGGAGCGCGTGCAGGCAGAGGTCAGCAAGTGGAACGAGAAGGCCGACAGCGGCATGGACGATATGGGTGATTCGTGAAAATTTGAGCGACGGTTTTCTGGCTCAACGCTGTCAAGTGTCCAGTTGGAACGGCGAGGTTGTCCTTCAAATTAATTCGTTTAATCAACAATTCTTTCCGCGTTTTTGGGGTGTTGCGTCGGCGGGATATTCGGGAAAGGGAAAACAAGGGGATGTTTATATTTTTGTGATGGGAACTGGGAATGCGGTATGAAATTGCGCACTGTGTATAAAAATGTTTTTTTCTGTTTGATGACAATTGGCGGTAACGGCGAGTTGATGTTTTTTCCTTAACCTCGGAGATTTTGGATGTTGCGGTTGTTTTTCGGGAGGGGATGTTTTCAATGAGGAGTGGATGATTGAGGTTACTGCTGTTTTTCGGTTTATTATTGCTTATGCCGATTCAGTTGAAATGGAATGGGATTTCAAATGTTTGCGAATGCATTGTGTAGAAAAGTGTTCAATAAAATTTTTTAAACGGGAAAATAATTTTTTTAAATTCTGCCGGTCTTGGTTGAACGCACTCATCATAAAAATCACAAGGACGGATTACGTTGGCAGTTCTAGCGACAGACACTAGATTAAAACTGATATTTTCACCGTGTTACTTTTTATGCGGCGCCAGATACAAGTAGATGATTTTATTTTTTTTTAAAAAAATATTAGTTTTCAAAATTTCCATGGTTTACGAAGTAAATTTTGTGAACTATCAGTGCATGATCATGCTAGGTTTTTGCAAGTTGCCACAACTCTACGACAGTTCCATGCAAAACCTTTATGGAATTAATGAGAATCTAAACGAAATTTCAGTGTCTCCTTCCGCGGCGGCTTCATCTCCGTCTGCAGCTCCGCGATACTTCCGGCATGCTCGAAAACATATTTAATAAATTCCTCCACATAGAGGTGGTCGGTGGCCATTTTCTTGCAATGTTCTCGCGCCTGATTTACCATCTACAATACACCAACATCATGCAGACGTCTGCGGCAAATTGTTGGCTTTTTCTGTTTCGCATAAAATTAGAATAAACTACATAGTGTATAATAGACCAAAAAGTGTATAAAACAGAAAAATATATTAAAATAAAACGGTAAAAACTGCATATGCTATACTAAACGAGTACTTCATGTACATTATTACGTTTTGGCCGGAAGGGCAGAAAACTGGCGAAGTGCAATTCATTAAACACATTAAAATATAATTATACGAGTACATATTGACCGGAAGTGTCAAAAACCAGAAAAATACAATAAAAAAACGTTAAAAGCTACATTTTCCATATTTAACGAGTACTTTATGTACTGTTTACTGGTCGGAAGTGTATGAAAAAGACGAAGTAAAATAAAATAAAACGCTAGAAAATAATTACACGAGTACTTATTGACCGGAAGTGTATGTATTACTAGAAATACAGACCTGTTCGGCACAATACCGATCCACATCTAAGCCACCGGATGTGCACACTTTCTCTACTAAATCGCGGGTCACGATGCAGTCACTGCCGACGTCGCCCTCCGACAACAGCAGAAGGAGGTATTTGGGATTATGTAGGATCCAGTATTTGATTTTCTGCATGCATTTCAGAGCTCTGGGTACAGCCTGGGCTTTTCTGTAGAAAATAAAGGAAAATTCAATAAATTAAAATAGAATCAATCTAAAATAATTAAGGCTGCTGAACACACTGTTGCTCCTCTGTTAACGGTTCCCCGGGGCGTGTCCAGTTCTATGGGCTTCTTGGATTCGTCGATAGCTTGTCGTATCTGTGCTCCTTTCTTCCTCTGCAAATAATTGGTCAAACTTTACGCAGTGAAGTGAATAAAATGATACAATATTAATCAACGTAAATAAAAATTTTATTCTAACGGTTTGCAGTAATTATATATTAAATCTTTTCCTGTAAAGATTTTATCAAGATGCAGCCGTTATTTTAATGAGTTGACAATTTAAGAATTAGTTTAAATTTAATTTTATGAATTATTTCTGTATTTTTACCAGTGAAAAGATTATGTTTCTCCAAGATCCGCAGTATTCCCGGATCCGGTGTGGTCAAGCGAAACCTGGTACCCCATAAATTCAGCACGTTGCCCGGCAGAAAATGCCGCCAGTCGTAAATCGGTGCCGGCATTGGTGTGCGTTGGAACGGACCCGGCTGGTAATCGGGAATGGGGCACTGCTGCCGCCGCAGGAATTTCCGGCCGTACGTCGCATCTCCCGGCACAGTATGTTCGTACACGGCGATGGTGTTGTCAGCCATATAATAAATTATCGAGTAATCCGGGAGATGAGCATCGGGATGGTGCGATAACTAAAAGCGAACAAACGGTTATGGGCATTAAACTACATGAAAGCAATTGTAATTCCTGTAACTGTTCATGATTTTTAAGTAACTAAATATTTTAGACTTTAATCTACAATATTAAATAGGGAAAATAAATAAAGGTCTAGTCTGAAATTAATTTAATTAGTTAAATATCTTAAATACATATTTAACTATTTACCCACTAACTACCGGGTAGATATTTAATTATACGTCCCTTTCGACCCCTTGTGTCATGCATTATGGGTTTAATTATTTTTGATTTTTCGCATTTTAAAAGCTATATCCAAAAGCTTTAATTATTATCGGAATTGTTTTAATTTTTTTTAATAGTATACCTGCTTAGCCGAGTATTTGAACGTGTCGTCGGAGAAGCACAACTGCGGCAGCTCATTAACCGGTCGCGCTTGCGGCTGGATTTCCATGACACTCTTCATGGAATCGTCATGCGTGCCCAGACCGTTGTGCTCCGGTACGACCAAATCCCGTGGCGCTTTATGCGGGCGGCGCTGATAGCGGCTGCGCCAGTCGGCATTAGCTGGCATGGCTGGTTGGCAATTCTCATCCCACCAGCGCCGCGTCCATTCCGTACACTCCACCAACAAGATGTGCCGACCGTGCAGACGCAGCGTATTCCCAATACAGAAATCTTTCGGCTCATAGTAGGTGAATTCCGGGGTCGGCTTTTCGATCGGACCTGAAAAAAAAACACAGTTGTGAAGAAAATCGTCATCTTTTCCGATGTGTTGAAGCTCACTATAACGTCTCAATTAAAGTGGTTTAATACTGCAAGATATATCCAGTTAAACGGCGGTGCATAAACGCTGTTAGCTAAAGGTCATCTCGAGACTGTTAAAAAATCTTTAGCTTTATGTTTTCTGAGCCCGTTTGAAGGTCACGTTAGAGCAGCTGTAAACGTAGCTTGATTTTGGAAGATAGGAATTAGACAGCAGCATATAACCGGGTTCTCTAAAGGTCATCTCGAAGAAATTTCAAAAAACTCGTATCTGTACTTCTTTAGACCGTCTAAGGTCACGAATAGACTATGTTTTAACAGCTTTCAGAGTTTCCGCAAAAAAACTATAGATCATGGTGAAAAATATAATGGCAATTAAAGGTCACCTAAAGCGGATGGGACTTGCTGCTCGACGGGATTCTTCGGTATGCGACTGCGCCGAATGACCGTGTTGAGTGTGCTGCCAAATGGATGCGCGTCGTTATCTATACGGAATTCCATTACCCGGATTGTTTCATCGCAGAAGTAATACTACCCAAACGAAGCATTTTATAAAATAAGTGCTTAGACACTGAATAACGAAGGTATGGCGTACTTCGACAACAACGGGTCGGCAGCGCGCCAGCGGGAAATTGGTATCGTCCAGTATGCCGACAAACTGGAGTTTTTTGTCGTCGGGTACTTCCAGATGATAGGGATTCGGTGGATACAGCGGTTTCCGGTTGCGCTTGTATTCCGCCAAACGGTGCGAAAGGTCACGCTTAGCGGTGGATTTTTCCCAGACTGGGTCTTGTTTGGGCGCTTCCGGTGTGCCGATGCTGTCCATCGGGAAATGGGTAACCCAGAATTTCTGCAAATAATAGGAGATAGGTTCTGTAGCAAAAATGCTTATTCACTTCTGATGGATAGGCTAAGAGATTAATGCAAGATCTGGTTTCTGAATTAGGATAAAAAACAAGTTTTTGTTAACCAATCAGTTTGCAAACTTAATCTGTTTACTTAGACGAGAACTGCAGTTTTTCTTTCTTTCGTAAGTCTCCTGTTTTCTTGAGATTACAAATACATTACTTATTCCAAAAACACCTTCGTTTCTCCGCGCGTTTAAAATTTTTCAGTTTTTATAAATTTTCGTTGAAAATTTTCAGTTCTCTTATATTTTGGAGAATCATTGGTCTGGTAAACGTTCATTTGGGGTAGCCAGAAAGAGCTACGAAAAACCACAAAAATAAAAGAACCTGCACCCATGTGACTCTTATTCTCATATTTCTGTAGAAAGTATGCAAGAACTGACCTTCGTGAATGCATCCGCTTCATACAGACGAATCTTGTACGGTCCAATGATGTAATCGTTTCCAAGTTTAAAATCATTGGACTGATAGGGTTCACGGTCCACAAGTAAACCGTTACGGGGCCGATAATACACTCCGCGAGGGCACAGGACACCCTGTTCCACACCGAAATTCTCTAGTGGCGGCTCGAACACGTGGATGGTATCGTCCTCCAGATGGTAGTATACCACCACCTGCCGGACACGGTACCCGTACTCCGGATAATGAGGATCGCAGTCCTTCAAGTCCTCCAAGAAATATCCGTAATAACGGAGAACCTGCAAAGGTCACATTTTTTAACAAATTGGTTGTACTTGGATTGGTTCTTAAAATACTCTGTAAGGGTGCAACCTGCAAAAGTCACTTGCAACTTGCAAGTATGCTTTGAAAAGTAAAACATTCAAAGCAATGTTGGGTGCTTCAGTTTCGGGATTTTTGAAAAAAAACTGGATAAGAAAATAAAGAAAATGCACAACTTTTTAAAACAAGGCGCTGTGGGTTATTATGACCTTTTGGTTGTTTTTTTAACAAACCATATTCGCATACAGTGCAGACTGTGGCAGAATGCGCATGTTTGGGCGTGGCTTTATCGAGGGTTTTGGAGGGAATCACGTACTCTTCGCCGCTCTTGCGACGGTACACCAGATGCGAAGGGTACAGGTTGCCGTGGATGGCGGGATCCTGGAAAACGGCGTCTGGGTGGGCAAAATGCTGGGTGTTGTGGTCTTTCTCATAGCGACCCGTCGTGTCATAACCCCGCGGACCGCGATCTTCACTGGCGGATACAGGCACTACCGGGTATCCGTTAATCAACTGAAAATGACGCCGTGTGCGTACTGGTTCCTAAAGGTCAAGGCGCGGTGTATTAGCAAGGATCGATTCATACAGTCCTAACGTTTTTAATCTGAATTTTGGGTAATCTGGATGCAATAAATCGCTGGCAGAGCAGCGCTACTGCCTGCTGCGATCAGGTTCAGTTTTGCGCTACAACGCAGCCCTACGTCATCTGCTGAAAGTTTTTGAAGTAATAATTTGGGATTCTTTGCTTCCAATCTTATTCAAAAATAAATATTTAAACATAGATAATAATATTAATCAAAAGTCAAAACAGAGGAAGAAACTGCGACAAGTACCGGTCGTATCCAACTGAACGGATCCATTTTCCTGTCCGGATAAAAATCCGAAAATGGTTTGTCATATATTTTAGGGGTAGCTTAATTCGCCCAAAAGCAACTTAGCATGTAGGTGCAATAGAATGCCTAATCATTTTAGATCTCTTTGGCTACTGAGACGGATTATGAATTATCAAATGTATTTATGGCAAAAACCTGTTAAACATAAAATTAAGTACACGATTAATTCAGATACTTCTATCAATACTTCTATCGATGCTTGTAGTTCTACTCGATCGAAGGGCTTGAATCCTGTTCTGTACGTACTTAAATCATAAATGCTTTGTAATGGCAGTACAGCGCGCGTACAAATACAGTACAACCACGTTGTCCACCAACAAAATAATTATAAGTAATACTGTGCTGTAATTTTGACAGTACTTACTTATTAATTTTAGCGTTAAGCGATGATTTTGTTAAGTACAGTATCATTCATTCAATGCAATCATGCAATCCATGTTCGAATACAACTTTCGGCCCACGTCGGTATCGTAAGTTTTCGGTACTGTTGCTGCACATTACTAGAAAGTACGTAAAGCATGAGGTATACTCCATCTGGAGCGCCTCCAGTTTGCTAACTGGCCCCAGTTAGCTGAAGGTTGTTTATACTTTCGACCTCCAGTTCCCTCCCAGCTTCGGTTGTAGTATAAACGACCCTCAGCTTGTCTGTAACCGAGAGCTACTGGACTAGCTCCGGTTCGAAACTGTCGTCAAAACTGAGGAATTGAACGAGTTCAATTTTTACTGTGGACTGGAGCCTGCGCTGAATTTCTTTTTGTTGCACTTCATTTATTTTGATCGTGTTCGCGTGGTTCTACTCCAAGTTTCTCTTGTAAGCTTCTATTGTGACGTTATTTCTGGACTCGAATCTCCTAAAATTTTATTTATTGGTTTTGTGTTTTTGACTTTTCTCAACGATATCGGAGTCCTTTTTTTATTAATACGTCTTCAAAATGCCTCGAGCGCCCACCCAACCAAACTTTTCCTCGGGCATCCGAAGATGCTGTAAATGTAGTTCCACGTCCAACTCGCGCATCTATTTTACAGCGTTCGAAAATTCCCCATGATCACGCTTATGTGCATGAACATACCAGCGACGTTGACGGAATAATTTGATCGTAATAAATCGTAATTAGCAAACGAACTGTTTGACGCAGTTATGAAGTACGAAGAAGACTCTAGCGCAGGCGATCCAGATGTACTAACAACGCAAGTTTTAAGCAAGCAAGCTCGCTGCAGATTGAAAAACTGTCTCAAAGGAGAAAATGCAAATCAAAAGATCTATCTGAAGTGATCGCACAGAACAATCAATGAAATTATAAATGTTTAAAACAACTATAAGAAGAGTATAAAGCTAAAGTTACTAAAGTATGTTCTTTAAAAGTGCCATTTATTGTGCCAGTAATAATTCGTAAAATTAACGCGTACCGATATTTGTGTTTATACTGCATTGGCAGTTTGCGCTTCGGGCAATCTGCTTAAATTTCTGAATCTGCCATACACTGTTGGATGCCGCCAACTGTGCTGGCCAGTCTCTGTATCGGTTTCGATTTTATCTGGATCTGGAGCCGTCTCCCGACGGAGTATACCCCATGCTTAACATATCTACAACTAAATAAACATACAGTACCTATAGCGTAGTGAAAATTAACATACATACAGCGTAGTGCTTGCATGTTCGTATTGACAAGAACGTTCGTAGTTCCTACTAATGTATGCTCCTACTGTACGAGTATGCCTAGCAACAGCAGACGCGCTAGCTGTGGTACCAGGCCTACAGCCATAATGGGCGTACTGTGCAATCATGTATCTCCGATATTTATGTTAGTACTTGATCAAAGTCGATCATTTCGATCGAAGCTGCTTAATAATTTTTTTCAGAACGATGTGCACAAGCAAATTTTCTGATGCAACATAAAACATTAATACTTACCAGAACCCAAGACTTTTACAAAATGCTAATCTGCTCGTAATATTCCTGTAGATATTATTTGGACCTATTAAATTAATCTACGGTTAAATCGCCAGAACCGAATCATGGCGTGTCTGCATTACCTGCTGAATGCCATGATGCCGCAATTGCCCACCCAGCTAGCTTTAATGCGACACTCAGATTTCTGGAGACGCAGGTGGGAATATTAACTGAGGATATGTTTATCTACCAAACAGCTTTTACCGAACAGTATTAAGTTCACAGCACTCCCACTGGTCAGCCGGTAAGTAAAAGAAATTAGCATCGTTCTGCTAGTTACTTACTCATGCGCCAAGAAAGTTTCTGCCAGCAAATCCTTTTAATTATACGTAGCGCTTGACTGAGTTTTACAAATACCAAGGCTAATCGTCCGCAAAAGATTTTGCTTTGAGCCCCGGAGGTGCTTATGCACACGTATCGACCTTTTTATGCTTCCCCGACGAAATTTTTAACACGCGTTTAACCATGTAAATTTAGCAGAATTACGTAGTCCCGGAATAACGGACAGTAATCAGTTGGCCAGAAGGAACGGCAGTCAAATACTCGTCCAGCACCGTTTGCCGTCTAACACTGCCAGATATTCTTGAAGCGAATCAGGATCATTATTTTGCAGAATAATATGAATCAAGAGCGTAAAAAAATCGCAATTGACACAGGGCATTGTCTCACTGAACCACCCCCAAAATTAAACTTTTGTCGGTATAATTCGCATTTCGCAGTTTCAGTAGCGGCGCCTTCAAGCAGACCCTGCGTGCACGCCGCAGTTACAGAGTCACTACCAAGATTGTTATGCGTCAGAGATTTTATAAGGCACACTTTAATGTGACCGTAATTAACTTTTCGCGGTGCATAAGCTACAAGTATTGGTCACGCTAGCGCGTGACCAGTTGTGTTTCAGGTATGGAATATTGAAGATGAACAGTTTTATAAGGGTTTCAGGCGGCTATTATTTTAATATATCTTTTATTTTAATTTGCATGGTTAACTGAATTAGGCTGATTTACACAGGATTGGTTGCGTAACTTGAGTTGACAAATTTGAACACGCGAATCTTGGTAATAAGCAAATGAAATTAACTGGGTAACAAGCAAATCAAATTAACTGGGTAGGACTTTAACGAAGTGGTTATAAATGAATATGACAATTAATAAGTGTCACGTCTTGGCACAGGTGCTACAATACAACTTGCGTACGACCTTAACATCACTGCAACATTTATATTCACTTAGTAACGAGAACACCTTACCACTTTTAGCAACGAAAACACATTACGGCGACCTTCACTTCGCTGTGTTCGCCACCATACACTGCATTCCATACAGGAAACGCGTGGCTCCTTCCGCCACTTTCTCACTAGATCCTTGACTGATCTGCCCTGAGATGGAAACGTCTGTCGCGCCAATTACGGACTGGCCTCCTATCAGGCTCGCTTCTGGCTTCACTAGACGGAGCTTTCTGGGACGTAACTCCACTTCTCTCACGTTCACGCCCTTCAGTGTCTTTAATATCCGCTGGTCCGGATGGGGCGGTTTGCTGGCTTACGTTAACTCAACTTCCCGCCACTGTCACGTCTTGGCTCAGGTATTTATTGTGCCACTTTAGCCGGGTAGATACTAATATAATAATGGGAAGAATACCCTAGAATATCCCGTTCTCTGTAGGTCACAAAATATACAAATGTTGCTACGCGCTAAAGCGTGTAGCCACTGTACTACAATATAATAATGTTCTGAAGAAGATAATGATAATAAGAGGCATGGCAGTATTATCTATACATTCATACAATCTTACCGTCAAAAGGCGTAATTTCGTGGGTTATTATGGATAAATCAACGCGTGGTCGGTTTAAGTCAAGCTTAGTCTTGAAATGATTCTTATTTTCCATAGGTATTTACGTAGAATTTTGATTGAACCTAGACCCTTCCAGTTCCATAATCTCTCTTAGTCGTCTTAAGTACTGGAGAACATACGAAATCCATGTTTGTGTACCTAACATAACGGGATCATCGAGAAATTACGTATGAAAAGTAAGGACGAGGGCAGGGTGACGCATTTTGCAGAACCATACAGTTAACAATACTCAGGAACTCAACCACCACGAGGGGCGGGTGGGATTTTTGTGGTCTTTTGCCTTCCTGAAATTTGTGGATGATCCTGACAAAGCACACTCTTACTTTTTATTTGAGATACCTGACATCTGTACAGTACGTTTATTTTAACGATAAGTACTTACAGATATAGGTGAAGTAAAGTACAGATACAGAAAACCGTAACTATGAATCTGAGAATATACTGTACTAAATTATTATTTACTGTTACGTATAGTACAAAATTAAAGTACTTAACGTTAAAAAAGGTTTATAGGAGGACCTAACCTAGTCAGCGCAGATGCGAAAGGCTTTTGTACCCTTGCAGCATCATTCACACAGTCTTACCGTCCATTAGGCGTCCAAACGAAATCTGTAGATGAGTGACCGACCGATCTACCACGACTCATGAGCAAAATCTCCATATGAGCGAGTAAACGAGCTACCACCACTGTCCCTTGGGCAAATTCTGTAGATGAGTAAGGGGACCGATCTACCACAACTGTTCCTTGAGCAAAATCTGTTACGCGAGTGAGTGACCGAGTGGTCTGAGATAATCCATAAATTCAAGCCTGACCTTTCCAATACACACTTGCCGAGCGCGGAGCGCGAGGCTTACCTTGTACAATTAATTATTAAAGGTAATCGCAAAGTGCGGCTGTGATACACGGAGAAGGCCGAAATGCCAAGTTGCCGAAAAAAGCGGTGGTCGAAACGAGCTGCTACCAATCACTTTGACGGTTTGACCGTTTACCAGGAGATGTCAGTTATTAAATTTTGTTTTCAGTTTTTAATGTTCTTGATTTCTTAAAATTTCAGAGTGCGTCCAGATATCATACTTATAGTCTATCCGCGATGTCTGTTATGGCCTCTAACTTACCCTTCCTTACGGCAAACCTGATCTCGTATGTGCCTTCTTAGATTAGCTCTATGATCGAATCTTTGTCCACAGATCGGATTCGGACACGTGCCTAATAAATGGAAAGCCTGATAGCTAGGGTACTCGTAGCCGATGAATAATTCAAATGAACGAGAACTTAGATTTACTTCCAGGTGGATACACTGGCTTGCATCCCCTTTTTTTCTTATTTCTCAAATTTTTGTGCATGTCATCGTCTTCGTGCGAGTT